GTGGTGTTGTTCCAGTCGGTAGCATGGCGCAGGCCAAAGTGCTCAAGGACGTCAAGATAGGTCGAGCTGACAATGTGGTGGGCCTCGTCGACCAAGACGAGTTTATAGCGGGTGGGATCAAACTTGTCAAGGCGGTCGCCTGATGTAATGCTTTGTATAGAGGCAACTGTGATGTCGGCGGCACCCGAGGCTTGATGGTTGCCCATTTCAATGTCTACATGCTTGGTGGGGTACGCACGGGCACAATGGCGCGCGGCTTGCTCAACGAGCTCACGGCGATGGGCGAGGATGAGTGTCTGGGTCGCATTGCCACGAGCGGGGACGCGATCGATGAGGTGAGTGAAGATGACGGTTTTGCCAGAGCCTGTTGCCAATGATACACCTAAGCGCTTGTGACCGCGCTCGAGGTACGACAGGACGGCTTGGATGCATTCTTCTTGGTATTCGCGTAGGACAACGGCGGGTGGATGTGTAGGTGATGGTGGTGATGGTGGCGAGGATGGCGATGATGAGGGCACAGCTGGTACGGCAGCTTTTTTCCTGGTCCTGGCCAGCCGTGAAGCGCTTCTTCCTACTACCCAGACAGGTCGGTAGCCTGGCCGAGTGCACAGTCTCAGCGCATGGCGGAACATGAAGACGCGTCGAGGGGGAGCGAAACTGTCGCCAAATCACAATGCATGACGCAGTACACGCAAAGTCGGCCGCGGTAGAGCCCCACCTAAATGTCTCCCCCAACCACTGCCACCCCCGGCAGGAATATTTCTATAATTACAGACGAATGGCAAAAGTAATGGTAGTGGCATAGCCGAGAGCAAGCCACGTCCGAGTATGGGACTGTCCTGAACTGTTCTAGTGCATGGGACGCATCTGCCAGCAGCCTCGCTCATTCGGGCAAAGTATTAATCACGTGACATTAGAGCAAGCCTCCCTGCTTTTGCTACCCACTCCACTACCACTACTTCCACCACCTAGCTGCATGTACACACTGCCACTCACTGCTGTTTTTCCTGCCAAGATAGGTGTACTGAGCTACGGCTGCCCTGGTCTTGCCCGCCATGCAGGCTGAGTCCGACTGGACTGACGAGCCTTCTCGGTCGTCCAAGCGCCGTCGAACAGATGCAGAGAGACTGGCGCGACCCCGAAAATATCACCTCGAAGGAAAATACTGTGACCGATACCGCCTCCTCTTCAATGGAATTGTTCAGGAAGCTGCCAGTCGCTTCGACAGTAGACACATGCCTTATGCTTTTTATTCTTGGCAAATTGGTTCTTCATTGTGGTCTACAGCCGAGCAAGCTACTTTTTACTCGGCTCTACAGCGACTGGGAAGAGACAATGTCCCAGGCATAGCAGATGCAGTCGGCAAAAGCATACCAGAGGTACGCGAACTGCTCTTGTTGCTCCACGGTGCCGCAGTCAAGCAGGGCGATGCTGGTCTGACTTTTCGCGATATCCCGGCCGCCGTTGAGATTGGTGACGAGTGCGACGCCCAAGTAGAACTTGCAGCCGATGCACTGGCGTGGTATCAGGAGAAGTGGGAGGCCCGCCAAGAGCAAAAGCAGCATGGCGACTACTGGTTGATCACTTCGGCCGTGGCTGTTGCAATCGAGAACGCCATCGACGGCGAGGCGGACGAGCCAGCACCTCCGCGAAGAGGAGGGAAGGTCATTGTAGGGTATGTGTGTATGTTTGTGTTCAAGAAGACAATACTAACTTACGCAGAGCATGCCTGTCATGCAAGAAGTTTAAGCAAAAGTGCGACCGAGAGCTTCCATGCAGTAACTGTAGGCGACGGAAAATGGCCCAATGCGTGTATCCTGAATCATCTACCAGGGCTGATCAACCTGTCAATTCTGAAGAGCCCAAACAAGACGGGGAGCCAGATAGATCAGATCATGCACCAACTACACCCGCTATTCTAGAATCACTGCCAGAAGGATCACTGTTGCACCCACAAAATATGCTGAAGCTGTCAAGAGACGTCTTCATGAATCGCTCGCCAACGATACCTTCTCCTTGGCTGCACTGGTCGCAATATACATCAGACATTGCCCAAGAGCCGTCCATCTATCGTACTGCATTTGGTGACTTTCACAACCTCGTTGTATCAATAACCACACGACTTGTACGACTGGCTATGATACAATCAATGTCCCGTTTACGCTCGCGGAGTAAGAGATCTACACACGGTGCACTTCCCACAGTAAGGAAAAGGGACGTCCGTACCGCCATCGACCTTGCAGGTATGCCTAGAAACAGCCAAGAGAGATGGAGAGGTGTTGCTCGACGGTGCGCACTGAGAGTCTACGACCAGCAGCTATCTCGGCATGGTCGCAAGAAAATCAAAAGAGAGGTACCTTGGGATGAGTTTGAACGAATCATGCGCCCAGAGGAGCCCATTGCCAGCACTCTAACGACCGACGTGGAGACTTCAGATGATCAAGCTGAAGCCCGGTTACGAGCAGCGCGAAAGGGAACGCCTCTTCCTATTGAACGACTTGCACTATCTGACTCGGATGAGTCGTCACTGGACGAAACTACGCAACCATCGCAGCCCACACAGCAGTCCCGAGATACGACCGGACGGTACACAACAGGAGACGGTCAAACACCAACGCCGTCGACACTGACGCTGAAGCAGCATGATCGAAAGAATGCTCAAATAGACGAGTTAGAGATGTGGGTCATGCTCGGTCACGACCCAGACAAGTCCAAGTACCTCAACCAGATCGATCCGGTCAGCGATGAGGACGAGGATGAGGATGAGAGAGTCATCACGCAGCCCAATGACTGGCGCTCATTCACAAAGTACCGCGCAGAATGGGAAGAACTTGAAACACTACCAAAACCCGAAGCCTTTGAGGCAAACCAGACACCTCTCGCAGTACCGCCCGTTCTACACGATGATACCGTAGAACCCGGAGATTCTAGCTCCGATTACACAGGTGGACCGGGGAAGAAGAAGCAGCGCCCAAGGAAGCCAGAACCAGTTGAACTCGAGGCGGAGAGCGCTCACGCTTACGCAAATAGGAAGGCACGAGAGTTGGCGCAGGAGATGGAGCTACCTATGAGTGAAAGTAGTCGTCAGGGTTACGGGCTAAGTAGTGGTTCCAGCAATAGTGGTGGCGAGGGGCGATACCAAGTAAGGCAATCCATAGAGACTAGTGGTCGTAGGGCGGTACACTCGGACGACGAGGTGAGCGAAATGGACTGGGATACATTTATCGATTGAAGTTCCAATCAGTCCTTGTAGCATCTAGACAGTCTCAGAAAAGGCGTCGAATTCAAATTTTTTGCTCCAGTGATACATCACCTATCGATTTGGTATCATGGTGGTTCGGTAACGAAGATGCTTCTTATACGTCACCTAAGAGCTGGCTGGGTTATGTAAAGGAACAATCATAATTTGATAGTCTGGTCCCCAGTGACTTAGAATATAAGTATTGCTATTTTCCACTCGGTGTGTTGCATCAACGTGCAGTCGCGACTGGTTTCGGATTTATCGCATCCACGGCACTTGTTGAAGAAAAACTGCCCGCCCAGGACAAGTAGCGTCCAAGTCATTACAAACCTCAACTTCGCCTCCCTATCATGGTTCTTCTAGCGAACGTCCATTTCTAATATTCAATCGTCGTGGTGGCTTTCCCGTCCGATATCACAAATTTGAAATAGAACAGCCATAACTGGCTGTTCCCAAATCTCTCTATACTCTTTTCCTCCATATACCAGTCTCGTTCAGGATCGTAAAAGCACCACCAATCAAAAACCTCAAACAACAAATCATAATCACCTCTTCAGACTTGTCCAAAATCCGAACCAGGATCCTCTCTCCAACCACTCACAACACCCACTTCACCTTAACCCCCCCTTTGCCTCCCCCTATATAGGACCATCTCACCTCACCATGCTTCTCCCACCAAGTCTTCTCCACCACCATTCCTCTGAGAGAAAGAGCAACAAAAACCACCAAAAAAATAAAAAAATGAAGACCCTAACCCTCCTCACCATCGCCCTCCTCTCCACCTTCTCCCTTCTCCCAGCCCTCGCCCTCGCCGGCGAACCCCTTCCCCCCCGCTCCAGCGGCAAATACGGCAAAAATGTGCCTCCAGAACCCATCGACACGCCCCTCAAGCACCCCAAGGACCCTGCACTATGGTGGCAAGGCATAACCGACGACGACGTCTACCACCCAGAATGGGCGCTCTCATCCCGCGCAGCCGTCGTCGACGCATCAACCCAGATAAGCGCGTCGACGGCGCAATCCGCGCACAAGAAGAATAACAAGGACAAGAAAAAGAAGAAGAAGAAGAAGAAGGGATACGGGCTTTCGGGTCATTGGAAGAAGTACGGTTGTGGTCGCGTGGTTAACGAGGGGAAGAAGGGCGGCGAGGGGAAGAAGGAGACTTGGGGGAGGAGTAGGGCAAAGTATAAGTGTCATCCGAAACTTTGGTAGATTAGAGTGCCGACTTTGTTTGAAGAGGGCAAGGATGACGGGACATGATGCGGAGAGCGATGTTGACGGGCGGGAGGACTATCAAGGGGGTGAATGTGTAGTTTTGTAACATCAGGGATGCTTTGGCTTGAGGGTTTTTATGGAGGGGTCACGTATCGACGTGATTGGGTATTTGGGAATTGTGGACGAGATAATTCATGGATAGTGTTTTTTGGGGGGAGTTGGAAAGATTTTTTCTTGGAAATGGAATTCAGCTAATTGACATCATTTCCGTTATGAGAGTGCCTTGGTAGTAAGTAAAACTGGCAGCCAATATGTATGAGGAAATCAGTTTGTGCACTTCACCAAGGCCTAACACAATCCCCCTTTCCTCACGCATACCTGACAATACACTATACAAACATACATCACAATGCAGATAAAGGTTTAAAACAATCTGAATGGAAAAGGAGAAGAGGATAGAATCAACCAACAACCCCCAAGGTGCATGAGAGGCCTGAGCCGAATGCATGAGCACGGATCAACGTGGGAAAACCTAGTCTAAAGTCTACCACCCAAATAAATCTCTTTTGATCTCCGTGTCCCCTCCCGTACCAGGATAACCAATCAAACTCCACAAAATCATTACAAGACGTGCTTGAAGAACAAACGCAATAGATCCAGTTACACGGAAGACCCTTGCGGACCCTGGTCCAGCAAAAAGGGCCATATCCGGTACCAAGATTAAGAAAACAACCCATCAAGACGTGCGTGCGTAGTATAGCATGCAAATGACGCAATCAAGCGAGAAAAAAAGAAGATACACGAAGAGAACAAGGGGCTTGGAAAAGGAAATCAAAGGAGAGACAAAGAGATCCAACGGACTGGTATAGCGCGGAAAACAGACATACGACAATTTCTCCCCTCCAGACCAATATTTTAGAAAAGAACAGGCATCAAGGTAGGCAGTGACATGAAGGCGTAATAGCCGCGACGAGGAAAGCAGAGCCGGCCCAAATCTCAATAGTATAATAACAAAGACTGATTCGAAACGCCGACTCCATGGTGTACACGATGTTCGTATAAGACATCTTTTTGGTGATAATCAGACGATAGAAGCCCTAAGTGCAACCTCGGGCGGCGTAGGGGGTAGTGGCGCAGTAGGCGGTGGTGCTGGGAGGCCCATGAGCGGAGAAAGGGGCATGCTGAGAGGCGTGACTGGATGATCCGCGGTTGGTGGTGGCGGAGGAAGCGGTATGCTGGGCGGCGGAGTAGGTGATGTGATATTGCGAGGAGGTGGAGGAAGAGGCATGTTTGGTGGCGGCGCGGGTGGCGGCAGGCCAATTGAACTTAGACTATGCTTTACTACAATCGTCTTTTGGCTGGTTTGCTGTGCTAACGTTCGTTGCCTCAGCGCCTCGATATTAGGGTATGCTTGAACGTTGGTAGTTGTAGGGACTGCTTGGATTGACATTCTTTGGCCAGGAACGAAAGAGGGCGTAGACGAGATGAGGCGCAGTGGGCGGGATGACAGGAAAGGTGCCCGATCAGAACGTATCTGAACCGAGGCTGGCCGACGCAGTGGGTTAGACTGTGCTGAATTAAGACCATGAAGGCTAGGGGATGTTGTCATGTTGGATGCCGCTGAAGCTGGCCTTATTGGCGCAGTCACAGATCGATTCGCGATCAAGGGAGAAATCGAGGGCGTAGGTGAGGGTGTCTGACTGGCTCGACGTCTGGCAGAATCGATATGTTGGGCTTGAGGGCGGACTGGAATAGGTCGCAGAAAGGGCTTTGGTGATCCCGAAGTTCGACGTCTTGTGCCGGTGACCTTGCTGGTAGAAGCAAGGTAGGGCGCTGGGTTTGACATGCCTGTTGTTGTCGTATTACCCATGATGGACTGGCGTCGAGCAGGCGGTGGGGGAAGTGGTGCAGGCTCTTTGGGAGGAGGCGAGATGACGTCCCTCCTAGGTGGTGAACTGTAGACATGAGCATTGAACCTCACTGGGCTATCCTCGCGAGTGGGAGGGCTGTCATCTTCCTCGGGCTGGTCTGGTATATCGTTCTTGAGCTCCGGGGGTGATGAGTATGCCAAACCGATTTCAGTTTCTTGAGGTTGGTCCGGACTTGGTGCTTGGTTGACTGATATAATTGGGCCTGCGGCCAAAGGGTTTTCAATCCCGGGAAACGTGGGTGAGGCAGGACTGTAGAGAGAATGACGCAAGTTCTTAGACAATGTCTCAGCTGTTTGCAGAAGATTCTCGTCAGTTGTCGGCAGTGGCTGCATGGATCTACGTCGGGATGACATTGAACTGTTTGGATTCATTTGGAAGGATCGCAGGGACATGGCACTTCGGAGGGGCTCGTTGTCGCCAGTCGCACCACACTCTTCCATCAGAGGTGATTGTGGCGCGGGTGATGATTCGCGCGATGTGTTCTGGGTCCCGGCGCCAGAGAAAGATGTCGATGACGACATGAAGGAGTACCGTGAGCGGCCGCGCAATTGTTCGAGTTGCATCTGGTGTTGGGATACCGGTGTCGATGTGGCTGATGACGTCTCGACGGAGAGACGGCTACTTTGTCGATGAGATTGTCCGCTTGATGAGTCGATGCTTCGTTTGGTCTGTTCAGGATTCGTTTCCCAGTCTGAGGTGATGATTTTTGGCGACGCTGAAAGGCGTGGTTCGATTGGTACAACCTTGCTCATGTTGTACGCGTCTCGACTGACCCTGAACCGATGGTTGGCAATTTCAGCAGACTCTTTGCTTACCGAGCCGCCATCGGTAGAGCAAGAAGCTCGGGCAGAGTCATCCCTTGTTCTTGTACCACCAAGGTTATCAATCTCCCTTCGCACACTCGTCATCCATTCGTCCATCTCTTCGGCGCTCTCAAGAACTAAGAGGAAGCTCGTTACGGACCTGCGTGTGTTGAGATGTTGTGTCCGCAGACGTGCTAGGATTGAGCTCTTTGGGCCAACTTCGAGTGCGCCATCATCGCTAGCATGGCTGGATATTTGAAGCACCCAATGTTTGCCGGGTATGAGATCACAGGCAAAAGCCGCAGACTCCTTGCCGAGTTTGAGTACCTTTTCCGGTACCCTGTCAAAGGGGCCATCACCAGCATATTGCAGGATGTACCCGCTAGTGACGAGGACGTAGATTTTGTTGACAAGCTCTGGTGTAGGTGGGTGAAGCACCGAGTGGGATATGAGGCGTTTGTGACTCTTCTCCAACTTCTTGGCCTCTGTGCTGTTTTCAGTAATGGTGGATAGTTCGCGTTCATGGTCGATTCTCTCGAGTAGAGACTCTGCTTGCCGTCTTTGGCTCTGTGTCCGCATCAAGACCTCTGGAGCAAAGACACAGGCTTGCACGGTAGCATGCTTGATGGACTGGGGGAAAGCCTGGAAGAGCGGCGGCGGCTCCCAGTCACCAAACTCGTTATATGATACAGCGGAGCGCATAGATATGGGCCGGAATCTTTGGCTTGCTCGGGCGCGTATTGTCTGCTGAGCGGGGGGCGAAGGGTTTTGTCGCAGTGAAGACTTGGGTATGGACATGGGAGCAGTCGGCTTTGGTGGCGTTTGTGGCCGCATTGGCACTGCGAGTCCAACCTCTGTGTGACCGCGGGCCTTTTCTACCTTTGGCTTGCTGAACAAGTTGAACAAGGACATTCTAGAAGATACACGCTCGAGCGTTTTTGGTGGAGCGGGTACGGATACTTTGGATGCTACCGAGGGTGAGCGTGCTGCTTCTCGTGCTGCTTCTCGCAAGTTTGCTGTGGAGCGGGTGAGGCGCCATCTGGACATGGGCGGCCGTGCCGAAAGGTCGGCCATTGTGAATGTGCTGTGACTGCACAGCGGCAGTATAGTGGAAATGTGAGAGAGCGACTGGAGGGTAAACGTGAGTTCCGGCGAGTATGTGATTTAGAGGGGATAAGGCAAGTGGGTAGTAGGTGTGGCAGATTGGTTGCGGCACGGGACAGTCGAATCTGTCGATATGGAGAGCGACAGGGAAGGCTGGTCTCTCGGAGGTCAAGGGCTCTCGGAAGGGACGGCCGGGGTGCAAACGTTGGTCGAATATGGTCCGTGTGTGAGAGTGTGACAATAGCGATTGGGAAGTCGAGGATAACGAAAGAGCCGAATTGGGGATCAATCAATGTGGGGAGAGTCAGCGGAAAGGAACAAGGAGCGGGATATAGGTGGTGGTGGTATAGCACCAGGAGAAGCGAAGATCAAACGAGCGGACGGGACATGAGCCCATGAACAAGAAGTAGGCGGCGGCGCTGGGCGGCAGATATGTGGACAGGACCAGAAAGCTGACCAAAGTGAAACGACGACACGAGTCGGCTTTGGTGACGAGAGTCGCGGAAGAGGGAGAGGAGTGGTGGCGAGTGTTAGTTGCCGCAGATGAAGGATGGGTAATCATGGTAGTGCGCCAGGGGAGCAGTTCCCTGTGTGATGTGAAGACGCAGGGGGTGTAATGTGGCCCCTATACTGCCAGCTCGAAGACAAAGTTGGGAAGGGAGAGATGGCGACGGCGTGCGCTAATCGAGACCAGGGTTATTTTGGCGCGCTGCAAGCAGGCTAGCCGGGGGAGGGCCGGCACAACGTCTTTTGACAGTGCGCTGGCCCAGCCAACACGAGCATTTGGCTGTGCACGCGGACGAAGCGCGCCGATGTGAATGGGGGTTAGTTGGGGTGTAGGTACGCGACGACGCGTCTTGGTAGAGAGAGGGAGGCTAGGTAGGACCTTGCAAAGGCGGAGACAGCGACGACGACAGTGATGACGAGGACAGAGTAGTCTGTAGCAGAATCCACCACCTGGCCGCTCTCCGGGGCGGGGTGGAAAGGACAGGGTCGCAGAAAAAAGTATTATTAGCGAAACTCTGCAGGACAAGGCCGGGCAGGGAGCGGCAGTGTGGCCGTAGCAGCCGACGCCAGGCAATACTGGGGCGTGGGGAGATATTGGATCGTGTTTGGGCGGTGAACTTGTTTTTACGGCCAGTGTGGCACGTCCGTCACAAACATGGTCAGGGTACGACGACGAGGCCAAAAGGAAAATGAAGTCGTAGTGGCAGCGTGGGTAGAAGGTCACCAGGGGCGTAGGCACAATGTTTGGCCTGGTGTCTCAGCGTGTGCCACAGGCAGCGAGGTGCATAAGTAGAGTTTGGTGCGGTGCGGGTGCACGGGGAAGGCCATGTTAGCCCGCGCAAGCGGGTGGCATGGCTGCAAATCTTATTCCCGTTGGTGACATGTCGAGATGACGACGGGCATGGGGATGATAAAGATGAGGCGGACGGGATCGAGGGCTGATGGAGATGGCGATGGCGATGATGAGATGCTGACCAGTACAGTACGTAGTCGTTGGTAGTGGTAAGAAGCGGGAGGAGGGGAGCAGGGGGGCGGCAGGGCAGGGCTGGCCGGCTTTGGTGTTCCTGCAGTAGCGCGGCCGTCCGACTTGCCCCGCCAGAACCAGTTCCAGTTCCAGTCACCCCACCACAGCTGTCTGGTGACGCTGACGCTGACTGACGGACTGACGGACTGACTGACTGACTAACTGAACGACTGACGGACTGCCCGCTGACTACCGCGACTACAGTAGTACATCCATCAATCTTCTCATCCACCTCACATACCGTACACACGCACATCTACGCCTACAACTCCTATACCCCACTTTACATCACCCCATCCCGTCCCGTCCCCCGCCATGCCCGACGTCAACACCATCTCCCCTCCTCCCCACGCCTCACCCTCGCCTCGCACCCAGTCGCCCTCCAGCTCGCGCTCTCCCCACTCGCTCGCCGCCACGGCTGCCTTGAATGCCGGCATCCACAACCAGGACTCGCGCTCGCCCTCGTCAGGTGACATACGGAGAGATGCAGAACGTGCCCGTCGCCGCTCCAGCATCCGCATGAACCTCAACCTCAACGATCCCGCCCTACCTGCCCCCGGCGAGATGCAGCAGAGCCCTTCAGCCCGCGCCAGAGGCACCGGTACCTGGCCACACAGCCCACACCATGAGCGCGCCCCCAGCCTAGGTGAGCTGCATCAGGAGCTCGAGGCTGAGCAGGAGGGCCAGGTCAACCGCCTCCTCAATATGATCCGCGCCCAGCAGGCCCAGATAAACAGCCTTCAAGCCAACCAGCACCCCTCGTCGGCCTCTGCTGTTGTTGACGACGGCACCCCCACCTCGGAGCGCTCCATGTCCATTCCCGCCTCGCACTCGCACTCGCAGCACATGTCGCCGCTGCCCTCGGCCGCCCAGCCCCGTTCCCGCTCGCCTTTTGGCCTGGGTTCTATCAGCCGCCAGTCGTCGTTTGCAGACCGCTCGCGCCACAGCAGTCATGCGGGCTCTCCCGCCCTGCGGCCCATATCCGGCCAAGCCGGCTCCTACGACCCCCACGACATGCTTCCCAGCCCTGCAGCCGCTAGAGATGAAAGTGCTTTTTACCAGGCAGAGACTCAGAACCTGACTCGCGAGAACCAGATGCTCAAGCAGCGGATACGAGAACTAGGTATGTACTCATCCACTTGTAACACAACACTAGTACTGACCATGATTTTTCTGTAGAACGCCAGCTAGCAGAGCAAAACGCTACCAGCCAAATTACCCACTCTCCCTCTGTCCACTCTAGTCTTGCCCCAACCCCTAATCGTCAGGCCAATGATGGTGACGATGCTCCCCAGGATGCCCAGCCATCTGCCACTGCAGAGTAATTTTTGGTCTTTTTTGTTGTCTTCTTTTTCCACCGGCATCGGATTGGGCTTCTCCTCTCATGACACGATTCTGACGGTGGCGGCGGTTGCATGGTAATGGCGTTGATATGGTTTTGAGAATAAAAAAACAGTGATTCCTAGTCATCGTTCTTTTTTTCGGTAATTTGAAGTACGACTAGTGGCTTGTGGCTGAAATCGTCACGTTAATTGACTACTATTTTAGCTTGCGCATGTGTGGTTCAGAGATGACTGTACTTTTGGTCTCGAATTGATTGTTTGCTCATCACATTGTCTTGTAACGACCACGCGGGAACTAGAACGAAATGACGATAATCACGAGATCATGCCTTGGATGCATGTACGAGAAGAAAACAAGAGATATATGGCGCAATTATACAACACGAGGAGATACGTCATGGGTATCCTGACTTGACACCCAAACACCCATGTCTACCCGCGCTCCTGCCACCTGTTCGAAACTACTCCTACCAATACACACAATCATAGCGGACTGTATTAATTTTCCTCTTCTCCATAGAAGCCCCTGCTAATAAGTACGCGCTCACTCTTTAGTATTGTGTAATATGTAGCTCCACGTCCGAAACCAGCTATTACACAAACAACAAACTAGTCCCAACCTCCACTTCCTTCCTTACACTCCCTCCAACCTCGGAATACCGCAATAACAACAGTCCTGCCTCCCATACCTTTATTCTCCGCACACCGAAACCACACTCTAGGCCCTTACCCGTCTCAACTCCCCTCCCTATGAAAATCCGAAAAAAAAGAAAACAAAAACCGTTATACCCTTTCTTTCAAACTTTCCTCGCAACATGTTTCAAGGATCCCCCTCCCCCAAAAAAAACGCAATAGAAAAAAGCTTGGACACGTGCACATTGACCACCGTGGTGTCCCTCCTCCGCACGCCTCAAGGGACCCTGGAATGTAACAAAGTTTCAGTTGGCACGGGAGAGGAAGGATAAAAAAAGTTTAAATTTGCGCAAAAGGTAAAACAAACGGTGGCACTAAAAAAAAAGAGGAATTTTGGATGACTGAGATTCGAGACAAGTGTTACTAAAGCGTGTAAGTTAGGTTGGACAAAACAAGAATGATGACTAAAGAGAGAGAGAGAGAGAGAGAGGGAAAAATTGGATAGAAAGAATTGAAATAGAAAGAATCTCCAAGTAAAGCGCTTGTAATACTAAAAAAAAGAAGCTAGAGTACGACTGCAGATACTCTCTCCTTCCACCTCAGTATCACGCGTCACCTCGGTTCCCAGAACACAGACACTTGTTTGAAGTGGAAAACGCCAAAATTTGCGCCTGCTGACCCATGCATAGTATCATCGTCCCCTCATCTCTACCTTTGCGCTCCCTATCTACCTAGTGCAAGCTAAACAAGTAAACAAACAAACAAACAAACAAACAAACAAACAAACAAACAAACAAACAAACAAACACGCGCACCTACACTACTCCTCCTCAACCTCCTCCACAGTCGCCCGTGGTGGCCGCTGAGTTGCTCCGCCCTCTGCTGTAGGTTCAGCCCCAGTAGCTTGTGGTGCGTTATCCACAGGCGCAGATGCAGGTGCAGGTGCAGGAGGAGCAGCAAAAGGAGCGGCATTTGGCGGCACAGGAGTCGTTGTCCTCGAAGCATCATGACCGTGTTTCTTGCCCTTGATACCCGCAGCCTTAGCAGCCAACTTAGCAGCTTTCTTTTCCTTTTTTGCTGCCTTCTTTGCCTTGATATCCTCGGGAGTCTGTCTATTTGTTAACACACTTTGAAAAGGGTTAAAAAGGCGGATAATGTTTCACGTACCTCTTGCCATGCCCACACAGGTCGGAACGAGTCGAAGAAACCGACGTCTTCGAATAGATTGGGGTAGAGCCAGAGACCAGGGGGCGCAACGAATATCGTGATGATGAAGAGGATCAGGCGGACAATGGCCATGACGAAGAAGAGTCCAATCAGGCCAAGCATGCCCATACTCAAGTACCACACACCTTGGCGCAGCATCAGCGGCCACAGCGGGAACAGCACAATGGCAATCACGGCCACCAAGGCGCCAAGAGCGTACAGCTTTTGCTTCCATTGCGATCCCTCGTACAGCCAAATGTAGTAGCTGTCGTCATTTGCGTCTTGGTGCTGCTCAATCTTGACCGTCCACAGACCCTTGATGCGCTTGGGCTTGGCGTGGTTATGGCCCTCGTGTTCATCCTCATCGGCCTTGGATACCCGGAGCGCAAGTAGAGAAAGCGGCAGGAGCTTGAAACAGTTCTCTGCGGTAACACGGTCGTGGACTTCTGGGAGCAGAGGGTTCTTAGCCCGTGCCTTTTGGTATGCGGGAGACTGGATGGCGCGGATTGCTCGCTTGACTATTATTTACTTGTTAATTGCATATTCACATGACAAAAAATGGTCGCATCCTACCTCTGAACATGTCCTTTCTCTTTTCGTCGTGCACGACAGTTCTAGGCTTCAAGTCCTGCGACTTGAGCCAATTCGCAAGAGCAATGGCCTCGGGCTTGGGTGGGCCGGGCTGGATGGGCTGCTGCTGCTGCTGCTGCTGTTGCGCGCGCTGCTGGGCCTCCATCTGCGCCTGCATCTGCATCTGTTGCTGAGCCATGGCCTGCTGTCGCATTCGCTGAACATATTCCTGGATTGAGATTCCATGCCTTTGAGCCTCGGCGGCAATTTGCATCTGGATTTGCTGGATTTGCTCGGGGGTGGGCTTTTCGCCATTGGGTCCGAGGGGTATCGGAATGGCAATCGAGCCCGGTGGTGGCGGGCCTTGATGGGTCTCATACTCTGGCGGGGGTTGTTCTTGTTCGGCCATGGTGAGAGCGAGAGTTTGAACCGCGGGCGAAAGAGATGACCTGACCGATCGATGCGGAGGGAAATCAGGTTGGTGATGGAGGACTCCGGAAAAACTAAGCGTTCGGCGGTTGACACGGTGGACTTTCGTGATGCCACATTACATCAAACCCCAGGCCGGCGGAAGGTAGGTCCGGGCGGGGTGACTAAGCGACGCTTGGGTACATGAAATTCTCTGCGAGCTACTAAAAGCTTTTCCTTCCACCTCACCTGTTCACAACATCTCACACTTTGTTTCCACATACTCCCAGGATACCCTATCCGCACCATGGTGTGCGCCTTATTGTTTCACGAACCCGACTAGGTCAACCGTTGTCGAATGCTGTGCACTCAGCATCCCTTTGGTAGGGTCTGGTGCGCGGCCGCACATCCCTCGAGGAATGCGCTTGGAACGACGGCGCAACCCGCCATGTAAAGGACGCCACCCTTCTCCAGCATCAGTACTAGCATGGTCAGCATGGGCCCTCCAGTATCGGCTGGCATAGGCCTTAAGGAACGAGGGCTCCTGCGGTGAGCCGCTGCATCTTTATTGAACATGGACCAGGCGGTGTCGCATGGGCATATGCAGCATGTGCTCCAAAGCGCAATCTTGCCTGGCAAATTCCCATGTTGCAAGATGGGGGTCAACTTGGCAAATGTCGACTGATGAGAAAAAAATCGACTGATGAGTTTGACCCCAGGCTTGATTGGCGACAGGAAGGCAAGCTGTCCAGGGCACCCTGGAATCCTTGTAACTGTGTGATGATGCATCACTTCACCAACACTCTGGCCCTTACTTCCCTTACTGTATAGGCCTATTTTGGTGTGAAGAAGAAGAAAGCGACCCATTACTCACCGCGGAGCCTTTCCTTTCGGGTGGCTTCAGTGGTCCTTTTCCGCGGTCAACATGCTTATGTGTGTGTTTGTGTAGTTATTGAGTGTGTTTGTGATGTGCATGATGTGGTGTGGCGGTACCTTGTCGCGCTATGGGGGATCTGCGTGGCACATGAAACGGCTGCATCAACGATGATGGCTGACGCGGGAGCCCTTGGCGTGCGGGTATGGTGATTGTTGCATGTGTCTGTGGAAGTAAGTAGAGTGTGCATGCATGTAAGTACATGCTTACATAGTCTGGTGAATGTGTTCACAACGGACGACGGGCGGGTCAGTCAGTCAGTCAGGCAGCCAGAAGGATGCACTATGCAAGCACCCAGGGCGGACGGGCTGGTGAATGATGGATGGGCCATTGTGGATATTGCGGCACCCGCGTCAATGGACGAGGGCCCCTGCAAGGCGCCGTCTCTGGCTTGTTCATGTCTCTCTCTGCAGTCTGCAGGCTACTAGCATGGCCAAGTTTTGTTTTCCATGCAGTCGGGGCGTCAGCGTCCACCGATGGCCATGTACTTACTTGGACGGCGGCGATAGTAGAAGAAGCTGGCAGCGTCCTTGTCCTTGTTCCCACGCATCCCACCTACATCCTGCCTGCATCCTGCCATCCATATCCATATCCATGCCCAGCGCCGCCACTACTCCCGCCGGTGCTCGTCCAGCTCGCCCGCCGTAGCGCGCGTTCCTCGATCCCGCTCGATCGCCTGGCGGACATCCCCCAGACCGTCTGTCACCCGGCAGGGATCGCTCCAAGCCACCTCTCGAACCACTGAGCGGATACGAAAGCGGATAGGCCTACCGCTGCCTCGTCTCCGCCGCACCACACCTCGTCATCTCGCGCGCCCGCCTATCCGCCCTCGAGTGTGCGTGTGTGTCGAGCGTGAGCGCAAGTGTGTGCGTGAGCGTGAGCCCCCAAGGGTAAAAAAGCAGCCATCGCCGCCTCGACGTGCAGCTTGCTGACACGACGTGACGGAACCGCTGCTGCGCCCCCAGTCGCAGCCCGCCCGTAACACGCTGACTCTGCCTCCTCAGCCCGCTCGACCAACGACGGCCTTCCCGCGACACGACGCCCAGAAACCGCGTCCCTACGACTGCACACTGCACCACAACGCCCACCGTCCCGACACCACCCCTGCCCGCCCGGTTCTGCCGTTGCTGCACTTTGCAAAGAGAGGGCCCGCACTTGAGCGACCCTCTCTCGCCCTCGAAGCACTCCACCGTCGCCGGGCTCCCTGCGGCTAACCTGCCAGCACGCCGACGCCCGGTGCTGAGCAGTCCAATCCACCTCCCCCCAGAGATATGTCAAGCGCAGCAGACGGGCGACGATTCCGCGAAGGCATAGGCACCAGCCGCTCCTGGTGAAGCTGTGCTGTGGGGTTGTCACCACACAGTTGGCTCCAGACAGTCGTCCCAAAGGTGACCACCGGTACACACCCTCTTGCTCGCTGCCTATCTTGGTCTCCTGCGCGACAGGCCCCATTCACCCACGCACGCACGTACGCACACACATACACCACCACCAGATTCCCTCCAACGGCTCCCCCACCATGACCATGGTTCGGCCATACCCCCCGCAGCCGCCGTCGCAGCTTCCTTCCACCCCAGGCTACAGCAACATGGCGCCTGCCCCGTCACACGCCTCCTACCTCCGCAATGGCCCTACCCCCGATGGCCGCAGCCTCGCCCAACACTCTATCCCCCAACAATACGCCCATCCACTCTCTAGACACAGCGCGTACGGTTCGCCGCCCTCCGATACGGGCCGCACTCCAAAGCCCGCTGAGCACATGCTGCGCCGCAAGACGCCGAATGGTATTCTGGCCGCCGCATACGATGGCACATCTGTCGAGACAAACGGAGAGCCCCATGCGACAAAGCACATCTTGCTTCCTGTGACCGCCGAATCAGGCATGCCTTATCGCATTAACAAAGATCTCCCTCTCCGCTCGCCAGCTCTCCATCGTGGCCACGCCCAGAATCAGCGAGATGCGCTGGAATGGAGTGCGAGTCGTTACTTTGAAACGGGATCTGGGCTCTCTGCCCAACACTTACCACAAATTGATTCGATGCTCAACCAAATACCCCCATTGCAACCCCTTGAGCCCTACCAGATGTACGGCAATCCTTTCTGCACCCCCATGGGGCCTCCGTTTCAAACACCCCTGAATCCCACAGTCTCCAACGACCAAGGGCCATACGGCCCATATTGGCACGATGGCACCTACATTCCTTATCGGCCTGCTGCCATGCGCGATCCTCGATTTTTGCATCATCCTAATCACAACTGGAGTCATTCACATAACAACCCCTTTGCAGGTCACCCATACAGTAATGTCATGCCCAATCTTTCACATCATCAGCCAAATCCTGTTCAATTAGACTATGCACATGGCGCCTACGGTCGCGCCCCAAGGCCGCAACTGGATTTTTCGCCATATGCGCAGCCCCATGCAAACGTTGCATTGGACTATCAAAATCAGCTCCTCCCTCCGCCCCCTACTCAACGTCCTCAAGATTTCTTGCATTCCGGTCAAACAACACCTATCGCTGAGCACATGCCCAATATTCCGCTCGATGATTTCAGTGCATTACCTCCGAGCGAACAGCCGAGGGAAAAGGTGTTTGCATGGGCCCATGCTGTCTACGTAGACATGCTTAGACATTTACAAGCGACCCGAAAGACTAATTCACATCCCCATGGCCGTACACATCAACGGCCTCATATTTACCCCAAACCGCCGCGGCAACCTGGAGGCAGCGTTTCTGGCCCTTCCGTCAGCAGTATGCCATCTCTAGAACGACGTGTATCGTGTCCAGTGCCCAATCACTATGCGTCACCTCAACCTGGATCAGAATTCGTGCACAAGAGACCTCAAATGCCGCATTCACGTTCGTTATCAGCATGGTCAGCCGGGGGTCCTGGTCCAAATAGCCAGGTGTGGCAAGGAGGCATGCCACTACAACATTCCATGCAGCCCCATACTCCAGTTATCGAGCCACCACGGACTTTACGCCGAATGTCTGGATCTGTTGCCGGTGTTCACCAGAGCCTCCAACACGGTGTACCTCCAAGCGTGACTACTGCTTCTGCCCTAGATGCCATCACCAAACATTGCGAGGAAAGTAAATGGACTTGGATCGATGGTATTCTTCTGGGTGGTTGTCTGGCTTACGCACTAGGCGACTACCAAAAAGCTCAAGACTGGTACAAGCATATCTTGACCCTGGACAAAGAGTAAGCACGCCCTGTTTTCTGTGTATACTCAATGCTAACCCAATGTAGCCACGTTGAAGCCATTTCGAATCTGGCGGCTACCATGCTTGCTCTTCAGCAAAAGCGTGAAGCTGAGAGCCATTGGAGGCGCGCTGTCAAATTACGTCCAAGCTATTTTGAGGCTGTCGAGCACCTCATTGGTTTACTCTGTAGTGATCACAAGGGACGAGAGGCGGTTCAGGTCATCGAAGATGTCGAACGCCAGCTCAGGTTCGTCAAGAGAGGAGATGCCCTGCGAAGCCTTGAAGCGCAAAGCGAGCGTTCAGCCTCTACGTATAGCGAGTCGAGCCTCTCGGAAGCATCCGATCGCCCCATTTTCGAATTCGAAGGCGAAGAATCATCGGTTTTCAAAGAGCTAGACGAGCTCCCTGGCTCGGATCAACCCGGCTTTGGCTCGAGTGGATATGCCATTGCAGGTTGCGATAACGGTCGCATTCTTGCATTGGTACATGCGAAGGGTAACATGCTCTACGCACTTGGTGATAATGCAGCCGCTGCCAGAGCTTTTGAAGATGCAGTTCTTATTGGGACTGGACCACACACCAATGGTATCGATGGCCTTATTAAGCGTATCCTTGCCGTTGTTGGATACGACGTTGCGGAGCGTTCACCAGGTGGACGCCGTGTGCCACCCTCATCCGATCCAATCCTGTTGCCACCGGATGCAGCTACTAGGACGGCTCAGCTTTGCTTCCCACCTCATGGCCAGCTCCCTGGTCTGAAACATGTTTCCAGTGAAGGTCTTTCGCGGAAAGCAGCTATATCCACAATGAGCAACTCGTTACTCTCACTCGCGAAAATCTTCCAAGACGGCATGGCAACCAACTCGCCAAAGACCCCAACATACCAAAGTACACACGGTGTCCGAGAGATCCTGGCTCTTTATTACTTATCATTATCCCTTCAGCCGAGTCCATCAACAGCCAACAACGTCGGCATTTTACTTGCCAGCGTGCAACAGTCTGCCCCTGCAAAACCGAGTCCTGTGTCGCACGCTTTTGCTCAGCCTCAGATACCTGGCTTGGTTCCGGGCAGTGGCGTTGCTCTTGCCCTTGCATACTACTCCTATGGACTTCAGTTGGACTCGTCTCACGCTCACCTGTACACGAACCTCGGAAGTCTTTTGAAGGACATTGGTCAACTGGATTATGCTATCAACATGTACGAAAAGGCCGTCCAATGCGATCAAGGGTTCGACATTGCTCTCGCAAATCTTGCCAACGCCGTCAAAGACAAAGGCCGGATCGCCGATGCAATCTTCTATTATCGCAAGGCAGTCAAGTCAAGCCCTGACTTCGCAGAAGCTGTTTGTGGGCTTGCCAATGCTCTCAACTCAGTTTGCAACTGGGCTGGCAGAGGCGGAATAGCCGATGATCACGGTTCCAGAGACCGCTGGCACGTCAATGAGAACGGCATGCTTTTGGACGCCACTCTACCAGGTGCTTCCAGTTCCGGATGGATCCACAAGGTTGTTAAACTGGTTGAGAAGCAGCTTGCTGATGGCGAAGACTGGGGCAGAGGTGTCATGGACGACTACTTCATCCAGGATATCATGCGTCCTTTCGTTCTCACTGGCACTAACGCACAAGACACCAAAGAGAAGGAGGATAGCATGAGACGGGTATTGACTAAATGGAAGGGTCAGAAGTGGGAAGGCGCTCGTATCGTGCGTCTTGTTGAGCGTGCGATAAGATGGATGACCTGGCAGTGGTACCAGGATCGACATGTGACTGGACAGCAGCGACCATCATCCTCATACAGAAGGCCGCAGCTCCCGGCGGGCTTGACGATACCTGCAGCCCCGACTGTACTGCCTTTTCACACCTTCACATGTCCCATGTCGGCCAAGCAAATTCGTCTAATATCGCAACGGAACGGTCTGCGTATCTCATGTTCAACATTGAGGGTTCCCTGGCTTCCACCCACTGTTTATCAACCACCAGCCCCACCGAGGCCATATCTGAAAGTCGGCTACGTATCTTCAGACTTCAACAACCATCCACTGGCTCATCTGATGCAGTCTGTGTTTGGGTTACACGACCCGAGCCGTGTAAAAGCATACTGTTATGCGACCACTGCGAGTGACGGATCTGAGCACCGCAAGCAGATTGAGAAGGAATCTCCAGTCTTCTATGACGCCAGCAGTTGGTCTGCGGAGCGATTGGTACACCAGATCACCAGTGACGGCATACATGTCCTTGTGAACCTTAACGGATACACCAGAGGGGCAAGGAATGAAGTATTTGCTGCCCGCGCGGCCCCTGTTCAAATGGCCTTTATGGGTTTTGCGGGTACCCTCGGCGCCGAATGGTGTGACTACCTGCTTGCTGATGATACTGCTGTGCCACCGGACACTCTCCGTCAATGGCGCCGTAACATCGACCTTGAAGATGCACTGGTAGATGACAACAGTGGCGGCACGGACGACAAGTGGATATACGGAGAAAACATCATCTTCTGCAGAGATACGTTCTTCTGCTGTGACCACAGACAGAGTGCTCCAGACTCACAAGGTCGACAGCCAAACTGGGAAGAAGAGCAACAACGAAGATGGGCGATGCGCAAAGAAATCTTTCCCAACCTTTCAGACAACGCCATTATTCTTGCAAACTTCAACCAGCTGTACAAGGTAGGTCAATCATGACTCCGATTATCATACGTTGACTAATCATTCTACCAGATCGAACCCACGACGTTCCGCACTTGGTTGCGCATTCTTGAGAAGATCCCTAACGCCGTTCTCTGGCTATTACGATTCCCCGACCTTGGCGAGACAAATCTGAAGCAAACAGCTCTCATGTGGGCAGGTGCAGAAGTTGCTAGCCGTATCATGTTTACCGACGTTGCCCAGAAGCATCAGCACATTTCTCGGGCACGCGTCTGCGATCTGTTCCTTGACACACCCGAGTGCAACGCTCATACAACGGCTGCAGATGTGCTTTGGTCCGGTACGCCGTTGCTAACGCTACCACGATACAAGTACAAGATGTGCTCTCGAATGGCAGCGTCTATTCTTAAAGGCGCATTGCCAAAGACGCCCGCCGGTGCACAAGCTGCGAAAGAGCTTATCGCATCTAGCGACGAAGAGTACGAGGACATGGCTGTCCGCCTAACACGCGATTACAAGTACGAGGGTCACCGACCCACTGGACGACTCAGTGAATTACGACGCATGCTCTACGAGTCACGGTGGACCAGCCCTCTTTTTGACACCAAGAGATGGGTTCGGGATTTAGAAGATGCATACGAAATAGCATGGAAGAAATGGGAAAAGGGAGAGGGCGGTGACATATGGCTGAAGCATTCATAGCTCTCGTAAGCATAGCGGTTGCATTGTCATTTGCTAGAAGCGCGCTTGAGGCTAGACCCGGCATGCATGTGTTTTGGGCTTAGATTCTTGGTTTGGATTCTGCGAATTTTGCGAAGCACGTACTGGGATTTCGTAAGCAGTTGGTTACTGCGGTTATATTCTCTTGTTCCTATACCCCACATTGATTTGAATTGGATATGTTTCTTGGTTACATAGGGGTGTTTGCATGCCCTCGGTTGCTTCATGTTAATGGGCATTTGTGTGGGTGTTATGCTGGTTAGCCATGTGGATAATAAGACTATTGACTCGCGGTCGGCTACATGTTGTGTCTGTTTTCAGAGCGAGTAGGCATTCTTTGGTGGACTTCAAAAGTGACAAGCATTCAGGAGGAAGCCCGATCTCTGTTGTAATCGCGCTAGTAAAGCTTAGCGCGATCGCAACTCCATTCATATTGCCGTCGCCGCTCGTCAGCGGAATTGATAGTTGGTATCATTGACCCTTCTTGCTTGTATCCTTTCAAAGCGCATCATTATCTTATCTTGCTCAAGACGCACCATGGCTCCACGCAAGAAAGCCGTAACAGCAGCAGCCAATTCTAACAAAGCTGCAAAGTCTGCCAAGGCAATCATCACATCCCCTTCAACACCACCCACCGTTGCGCTACCGCCATCGCGTATCCACAGCACATCGTACCACTACCCGCTCATCTTGGGCAACCGGTCAGCATGCGACGCGTTGCTGTCCTGGTTCAATGGCGTCGCTGAGACGCGTAGTATGCCGTGGAGAAAAGCGTGGATCGACCCCGCAGACTTTGAAGGCCGAGAAGAAGAGCTTAAAAGGGTTCTATCGAAAAGAGCCTATGAGGTTTGGGTGTCTGAAGTCAGTAAGTAGGCGCTCTCATTTTTTGCAAATGCTACGCGATGCGATGCTAAATCGCGTAACGCGCCAAAACGCGTCATCACGTGCTCATCAGTTTAGCCACTCTCACGTGCCATCCATACTAACAAGCGTTAGTGTTACAACAGACACGTGTGTCGACAGTCATTCCATATTTCAACAACTGGATAGCAAAATGGCCCACCGTGGAAGACCTTGCTGCTGCAAATCATGACGATGTGCTCTCCGTTTGGAAAGGCTTGGGATACTACTCCCGTGCAACTCGGCTTCACGAGGGCGCTAAGCAGATGACGTCTGCACCTAGTGCTTCGGGCGTAATTCCCAGTGGGGCGGTTGAACTTCAAGAAGTGCCCGGTATCGGGAGATATACTGCAGGTGCGGTATCCAGTATCGCATTTGGCGAAGCCGAACCAGTACTCGATGGAAACGTTGCAAGAGTACTAAGCCGGCAGTTGGGCCTGTACATGGACGCAAAAGATAAAAAGACGACAGATGTGATGTGGGACATGGCGGACCAATTGATCAAATTTGCCTCCAACTACCCAGAACAGCGGAAAAACGCTGTACCGGGTCTATGGAACCAGGCGCTCATGGAACTCGGATCTACCATCTGTACTCCACGACCACGGTGTGACGAATGTCCCATACAAGCCACGTGCAGAACATACAGCGAAGGAAAAGCCTTATCTGAGAAGCGCCAAGCATCTACTGCCATCCCGGACATTGAAGATGCATGCATACTGTGTGCGCCACTGGATACCGAAGATTTGGTTACTATTGCCGAGGACGAAGCAGCAGACGACACAGCAAGAGCTACCAAGAAGAGAAAAGCTGCTGTGAAGCAGACCAACACCCTCTCGAATTACTTCACCGTCAGCGCACCAAAATCTAACGCTGACACCGAAACTGATCCAGAGAGTGCCGACGACACCCCAGTGGAAGAGTCCAAGAAGCGGAAATTGCCCCCACCGGCTTCAGATATAAAGCCCATCTTGAGCTACTGCTCCTTGTTTCCTATGAAAGTTGCAAAGAAGAAGGCTGCAGAGGAAGATTGTGTTGTGTGCATGATTGAGCTGTGCTTTCCAGATGGTGGAAGCAAGTGGCTAATCGAACAAAGACCAAGCAAAGGTTTGATATCTTGTATCTCAAGTAGTTGCTGTACTAACAAATGCCGCTAGGGCTTTTGGCATCCTTGTGGTACGTAAACCATGTCCAGCCACTCGGAGGTGCTACTACACCTAGGTGTTGGTTGCTATCTTCTCGATACCCCGGTACACATATCCGCGCGGTACCCGTCGTGATAGGCCATCCGTCTTAGCTTTCCTCATTATCTTCTCCCAAGCGTCTACTGATTGTGGCACAGGCAGTTCCCACAGGTCTCACTACCGGCATCACAAAAGACGCCGCAGCAACGCAAGACTCTCGCCCAGAAACACGTTGCTGACCTCGCTGCAGGCAAGGTTGATATGAGTCAAGCGCGTTATGTGGCGTCTTTGTCGCCATTGGTCCATGTCTTCACTCATTTAAAGCTCACCATGCACGCCTATCAGTTCAGGATCGACGCTGATAACGCAAAAAGTTTCGAGCCGGTATGCAAGGGCCCGCCGGCCCGCAAGTGGGTGGATGGTGCGTCCATGGACGACGAGACGTTGTCGACTGGAATGCGCAGATGCTGGGACCTTCTTTCCAGCGAGAAGTAAATGGGCTCAACACATGGAAAGTTGGGTCGATGTTTCCGGAGGCGTTCCCGGGACCCCACGCGTCGTTATCTCTCGCCAAGCGTTTGCCGTGTGGACTCCCGCCCTTCGCCTCCTTGGCTGTCTCCACTCGCTCTGGGGAAGTGGAACGATAACGCATGGCGGAGGCCCCGACCATACCAGGCAAGGAGAATACTTTCTTTTTGTACGCTGGCTCGCCTTGGTAGCAACCTTGCGTTGGATCCGTGGTGGTGCGCTGCCCGTATCAGTGGCACCTCCGGTCGAATGAAAAAAACATGTTTGGTTTGGGTAATCAGCGAGATATATATTGCATGTGACGGGTTATTACTTGAATATAAGCAAACGTTATTCCCCGGTGTCGACTAGCATCCCGCAGGTCGATTTCTAGTGTAAAAGCTATTCAGCGCGCGCGCACTCCCGCCTACACTAGCAGTTCTGTTAGTCGTAGTTAGTAGTAGAATCATGGCTACACCACCTGCCCCGACTCCTGTACTGGAGTGGCCAGACTACAACACCACTCCGACTGGGGGCGACCCACTGACTACCGATCTCAACGCTCCATATGATAAAGGGGACCTATGCTGGATGCTGGTCAGCACAGTACTGTGCTGGTAAGTCCATCATTTTTTTTTTCCATTTCATGGGGCTGCCAGACAGACAAAGAGACGACAACACCCCTTAAAACTAACACTTGCAACACCAGGCAAATTACCCCAGCAATCGGCTTCCTCTACGCAGGCATGCACCGCCGCAAAGCCGCCATGACCATGATTTTCCAATCTCTCTTCTGCGCCTGCGCCGCCGGAATCCAGTTCTGGGTCTATGGATACTCCCTCTACCAATCGCACACCACTGGTCCTTTTATCGGCGACTTGTCTAAAGCGGGCTTGCACACTGTACTCGGCTACCCCTCTCTCGCAAATTCTGATATCCCTGATATCTTATATGCGTGTTTCGGGTTTACCTTTGTCACTGCCACGGCGATGATTCTGGCGGGAGCGATGTTGGAGCGTGGCCGGTTGGGCCCGTCAATGATTTTCCTACTGTGCTGGACGACGTTTGTGTACTATATCCTCGCGTATGCGGAGTGGAACCCTAGCGGCTGGTTGTATCAGCTTGGAGTACTGGATTTTGCGGGATCAGGTCCCGTGCATATTGCGTCTGGCTTTTCTGCGCTGGCCTGGGCGATTATGCTGGGTCCGCGTGTGGATCCGCACAAGGAGTCGCTGCACGCGCGGATGCCGCATTTCAGGCCGCATAGCCCGTTTTTGATTGGGCTGGGCACGATTTTTATTTGGTTTGGGTGGTTTGCGTTTAATGGTGAGTTTGGATATCATCTCTTGCATGCAATGGCCACGTACTGATAAGTGATCAAGGTGCTTCAACGGCAAATCTCTCCATCCGCTCCATCTACATTGTCTGCAACACCAACCTCGCCGCTTCAGGCGGCGGCCTCGCCTGGGTCGCCCTCGAATACCTCTTCACACGCAAATTCTCCATCATAGGTTTCTGCTCCGGCATCATCTCCGGTCTCGTCGGCATCACCCCCGCCTGCGGCTTCGTCCCCATCGAAACCGCCGCGTTAGTCGGCGCACTCACATCCTGCGCCTCCTTCTTTACCGTAAAATACAAGCACCTTCTTCGTGTAGACGAGGGTCTCGACATCTTCGCCATCCACGGCATGGGCGGCTTCGTCGGCGACATCCTCACCGGCTTCTTTGCCTCCAAAACCATCCCTGCGCTCGACGGCAAAAGCAACACTTACGAGGGCGGCTGGTGGAACCACAACTGGAAGCAAATGGGATACCAGCTCGCCGCTGCGACTACCTGCGCTGCATGGTCGTTTGTCATTTCAATCATTCTTCTCTTCATTATTAATAAGATCCCTGGGTGCCATATTAGGGCTACAGAGGAGGAGGAACTACGGGGGCTGGATTACAAGTATTTTAGCGATGTGGAGGAGGATTTGGTCGTGCTGAATGGGTATGGCAGTGCGAGGTTGGGCGAGTCGGGTTTGGGGGTTGTGTCGAGTGGGGAGGGGAGTCATCAGGATATTCCTGTTGATGCGGGCAAGCGGGATTGAAAGAGTAGATAAGGACCATATTTAATTCATGCTACAGAAACCTATGACCATTTGAATCGATCAGCAAGACTACAATTACATGCCATAATATCTTCCAGATCCTTTGCCGGATTGGAAGAGATGTCTCAGGAGTGGGGTGTCGTGCAGTGTTGTACAGCGCAAATGGGGGTGTGGTTCAGTCTTGGAAAAAGCAAATGGGTTTGTGTGATGCAGTCATGTAAAAAGCAAATGGGTGTGTGAGGTGTATGACAGCTCACTTCTGTTCAGAGGACTGTCCGGGTTTGAGGTTCTCCGAGCCCTGAGGAGGTCGTATGGAAAGCGTTGTGGTACCTTGCTCCAACAACTTGTTGTGCGAGGTGACTTCACCGACATAGTTGAACGCCATGTTGGTGCGGTCCAACTGGGTCCAAACCGAGATGGGGAGTGAGAAGAGGATAACCGAAGATGAGGCGTCCCAGGCGCCTTCCAATTTTATCTCCATGTTCATGATCGAGGAAGGCAACTGTTCGCTGAGCCATTTCTTCAAATTGCCAAGGACCTTGTCGTCGACAGACTCCTTCAGATGCGCAGTGAGCAAGATACGTGGGCTATTTGGCTTGAGAGGTGGAGCTGAAGCTATCTTGCCTTTGTACTTTCCCAAGACGATCGAGGGTTTGCCGTCGCGTCGATGGTAGAATGGGATCGCTTCGAGGTTCAAAGCCCTCCGCTCCGTCATGAGGGCGTTGTAAAGCGTGGAAATTGTGAACTGCTTACCCGAGAAGCGACGGAGTTGGGTGCATATAGCCTTTGTGAAGCATGTGTCAGGGTCTGCAGCAGCTACCTGCGTTGAAGCAGCCAACAACTCTGCGTCTGCCAACATGCACTCGGCGGCGTAGCAGCAGTCCATGATGTGCAGTACTTCACATTCTTCCGTCCCAAGGATATCGGTTGCCTTTACCCAGTCCAACTCTTTCGTGCGGAACTTTCCGTTAGCATCGATTGCACCCCTAAAAAATTGTATCAGTATATACATTGCAAGCAATGAACCCATAACTGCTTAACTTACCCGAGCATCAGCCTCTTTTCGGGTACTCGGAGCGAATCTGTACTGCGCGCAGGCTGAACTTGTCCGTGACCAGAGAAGACAAGGATGACCAGACAGTCCTTGGCTGTGAATCCTTTTTTCTCCAGCACTTCGATCTCTTTGAATATAAGCCAGTGCGGGTTATCGTGATTCGTGAGCAGCAGGCGTTTGATCATGTGAATGTGATAGAAGTTGCTGAAGATGTCCGCTAGTTCTTCCTCGAGCGGATCGCAGCCAATATCGTCATCCTGGAAGTGCATGAGGACTACAGAAACCTTCTTATAGTCGTTTTGAAAGTTCTTCCCTAGCCCTGAGTGAATAGCTTCCTTGAGTTCAGCCGAGATCTGTGTTGACGATAGCTGATATGGTTTCTGCCATGCACGTGAGGGGAATGAACCAGACATCTTGTGGTGGCTGATGGGTACGGGTGCGGCAGTTCTGTACGTATGTGAGCTGATGAGTGGTCCTAGTAATGACACTACTTACTGTGGTTTGGCTTGGAGTAGATACTGCAGTTCAGCTTGGAGGAGAGGTGAGGAGTGGTGGTTTGAGTGGGTGGAATCCTGAGCTTTATACTTGGAGGCAATGATAGGTGAAGGCACAAAGTACGCAGTCACGCTCGCTTCTGCCTAGGTGACTCTTCAAATTCTCACTGCCAGTGCGTTTGCAGTCCAAACACGGTACAATACCAATCTCAATATTACTAAGATTCACCGCTGGTTCGTTGGGAGTATGGCCACGGTACAATACCAACCTGAGGATGACCACAATTCACCACCGGCGCTTTTGAAGTCTAAACATTGCATAATACCAATCTGAATATTACTACAATTCACTGCTAGTTCGTTTGAAGTCCAAGAGGTTGTTGCATCGTTAGAGATGTTATGGCGCTGCCATTACTAGGACTTACTTATCCCGTTTGGGTATAGCGCCTTGACTGGGATTCTGTACTTAGCCTCACCTCCCACAGTTCCGAGATAGACAACTTGTACTATACTGTTTTGATACCTGTCCCTTTTGGCGGCCGTCCCGGCCCGTGACAGGAGTAGCTTCAACCTTAATTTTTCGGCGTTCTAATAGCAAAACTTTATGCTATATGTATGGACGACTCTAACAATGCGCATAGTCGAGGAAGCATGTCTACACAACTGAGAGTTCCCATCAGGAATGCCATGCCCATACCATGTGTCCCGCATCAAAAACGAAAAGGCAAGAATATACGACATTCCAGCTATGAGAAGCCCTTGAGACTCGTTCTCTGCGTGTCCATGCCATTCTTAGCTGCCAAAGGTCATGCGTTGTACATATCCGCCGCTAAGGGCTCCGCTAAGTCTGATAGCGGGTAAGCGAGGCATTGCATGACTAGTCACCACATCCTCTTTCACTGCAGTAAACTTCTTTGAGTTGGTTTAGTATTCGCAGGCTTTCCATTATGTTGGCATTGCGTGGTTGTTCGGAAGACCTCAAACATCCGCATATCACATTGGAGGGATCAGAACATGTAGGACTTCGCTCCTCGGAGAAAGGTCGTGAGATGCGCCACTCGCTTGCTAGGTACTTTATTGGTATGGCTTTTTCAGCTGAACATCGTATGTTGGCTATATCGGGAACTGTCCCGTCCCGCCTGACCCCTCTTTTTCGCCGAACTACGAGATCAAAGCCGACTCAAGGCTCCAAGAAACGGCGCCTTTGATCACCTTCGAGTCGCATCTCTATTGCGCGGCATAGGGACAACTACCAACTACTCCTACTTTGCAAACTATCACCATCAGCTCACCATGTACGGTGCTCCACCTGGATTCCCCCCACCGCCTCAGCAGCCGGCGCCTCCGCCATCAGGCTGGACTGAACACTTGTTCTACACGAATGGGAAGGGCACACCGGCCTTTGAAGCACTGATGAAGGAGTTCTTTGTAAAGCTTGATCCCAGAGGCACCGGGTACATTACTCCAGAAGCCTTTTCAAGCTTCTTGGAGGCATCGCGCGTCAAGGATTCGGACAACATCTGTAAGTCATCTTTTCCACCACAGTGAAGCTTTGAATTCAAAGCAAACTTTGCGCAAAAGAATACTGACCCTTTCTTGCTTTAACACGTAGGGAAGAGAAGTCTCAAGGACGGCGGCATGTTTGCAAAAGAGGACATGGCCGACTTCGAGTTCAAGGCTGCACTAGAAGGCTTCTACTTCGATCACAAGGTCGTAGTGCGCAATCCTAATGCGCCACAGTTACCATACGGTGGCATGCCCCTCCTCAGCCTGGCCGGGTTTATCGACTTCATGTCAGTCGAATATGCGTCGGATCCAGACGACATATTTGTCGTGCCTGGACTGAACAATGCCTTGCGCGTGTACAATATCTGGCCAGAGCGTGGGCCCTTGCCGCGATATGTGTTTCCTGAGAGACGGCCAGTGGAGATTCAGCAGCGCATCGATCAAGCAAGCCAACGCTGTGCTGCAAATGCGCAGGAGAAGATCATGGCGAACCAGGCACGGCTTCAGATGAAGCTGCAAGGTCAACAAAATGCCCTTGATTTGATTGACGGGACTCGTAGATACTATCGCTACTATTGAAGACTCTAGAGAGTCCGCAAGATTACAAACGGGACCGTTGTGTTGAGCTGAAACCAACTCAGAGTCTACTTTGATGCTATACAATTCACTATATATTCTATTATGCTCGTGTAAAGTTCAGCGTATACATTCATGATGCTCTCTGGCTGGGTAGGAATCGAAATAACCAAACTTCTAGGCGCTCCCGAGCGCTACGTACAACGCCATTGTATTCTGTACTACGCTAAAACGCCTCATCAGAATTTAGATAATATTGTCGGGTGGGTCTCCAGAACCATTACAGTGCGCAGATTTGCAGACGTACTGCCAGAACATGATTGCCTGCGTGGGAGTCAGCGTATATTCCCGCTTCTTTGATCTGATCCTGGCATGTTCAGTGGATAGGTTCGCGCACAATTGCTTTGGGTCGACCACAGATGCTATTTCAATTCGTGTGACTGGCAAGTCACTCTTTCTTAAGTGCTGTTGTGCAAATGTAATGTGTTCATTCTGGAAAATGAGATTGGTTTGATTTCTAGGAGTTGCTTCTAGCTTAATAGCTATAGCTACTTGTTGGAACTACTAGGAGAAATAAGATCTGCTACACCGCTTTCACAAATGAAATTCGCGTCGTGAGGTGATTCCTTGCTCATAGTCGGTTTGTGAGTCTCACATTAAGCATGGCCCAAGACTAATACCACCAGTGCAAATGGTCTCTCTTGTCACGGCCGGGACAGCCGCCAAAAGGGACAGGGTATCAAAACAGTATAGTACAAGTGTTGCTATCTCGGAACTGTGGGAGGTGAGGCTAAGTACAGAATCCCAGCCAAGGCGCTATACCCAAACGGGATAAGTAAGTCCTGGCAATGGCAGCGCCATAACACTCTAGGTTTAACTAGTTAACATATGCTTGAGATTACTAACACTTATATAACAGCTAGTAGTATTGGCAGGCTAGTGAATAGGTTAAAAGATCAAGTCAAATAACTGTAACAGCGACATCAATAATAGTACAGGACTATAATTCTATTAAGCTCCTTCACTATTACTGTTCAGATCGGGCTCTTGGAGGTTCAAGCCTGGTAGAGCTTAACTGCGACAAGTCTTTCATATCACATCATATATAAAATTTATGTCGCATGATCCCCAAAGGCTAAGAAACACAACTATGCAACCTTTCACGTCCCTACCCAGTCGCAACCACCATTAGCGCCTTCCCAAAGAAACAACTCGACATTCCAGAACATAAACCACAATCCCCTGGGTCACCGAAAAAACTCTAATCCGCGTACCTCTCATGCAAGCCCACCAACCGACATTGCCCCGTCCTCACAACGCACGGTGCCAATAAACCCAATCTAATCACATGTTCGACTACGGATCCCCGTTCACATTAATAAAGGTAGCTTTGCACGGTGTACTGTAGCAATATAGAAATGGTGAGTAGGCGTTTCATGTTTGGACCGATTAAGGCTACTAGCGTAGTAAAATAGGTTCATGACTTGATGTTTTTGAGAGTGTTTGGGTGAGAAGGGGACTTGGCGGGGGTTGGCATTGGTAAGTGAAGGGAGTTGGGGGAAGCAAGAGAGATTGAAGGGAAGTGGGGAGTAGAGATGAGATGGACGTGAGTTGGTCGTGATGGAAGAACTCGGGCTTGTTTTGTGGACTTGGTAAATTGCTTGATGATTTGCTCTGGTCGGCGAGATGTAACAATGATCGATCGAAACCGTGCCAAGGAATGTCATGTGACGTGTTTGCTATCACGTGTGGGTGTGTTTGCTAGGCGAGGCATTTTGCGCGCCAAAGGATTTCTCGATAGAAAACACTTCTACTTCTGGTGTTGTAGCATCAGCGGGTTCTTTGTCCAATATATTACTTTCTGCGATAACACGCGACGGCGACGAATAGAAAAATTGTCCGGATAAGCCACACTAAAAACAGATACGACTATTGCGCCAGTGGCGATACAGAGCTTCCCGTCCTGCCAGCCTTGAGATCGCATTCTGGACAGTCGCATACTGCGGGTATACCTTGACAGGTCGAATCATTCTCTGACTTTGATACAACTCCCGCCACACGGGTCACCCGTCCTGTTACCCGAATATTACCCAACCTGCTTTCTGGAAGCCTGTTTTTGTCTTGCGTGCAGTGCCAAGTCAATTTCTTCACACACACACACGTCGTCATGTCCAAGGCCAAAGGGATAGGCGCTAACAAGGCGCCGCCTCACGTCTGCAACGACCTTACGCAGGTGGCAGCATTGACCCGCCGCCATTGCGCAAGCGACCCAAAAATACTTACCTTCGTATTACAACTGCCAGGTCGGCGAGTCACGATATTGCTGTCATAGATAGCTCATAGCTCTAGTTGCGAAGCCGACTTTTTACCGGGAGACGAGGGCCGCCATGATGAAGATTTTCTGGTATCCAAACTCTGGTCCTGCGATTCAACGACGGTGTTGTTAGTGCACCATCGCCAGGTTTTATTCCTGCGCTGTGCACATCGGTGGACAGGGAAGTCGATCCGGGGTCAATAACCCTTTCGGGATACTCGAGGAACCAGAGGGGGACTACGGCGGTCCTTTGTGCAGTAGCAGTATAGCTTGAGACGGGGGATGGGCAGGGTCTGCAGGATCCCGAAACTCCGGACGACTTTTCCGCCGCACATGGCAAATGCACACTAACTCGGCCGAATTGATGGAACAGCGTGCGATACGCGAACCGTGGACGTTTCGAATACTCGTTGAGAGAGATCTGGAATGGCGCTCAAGAAAAGGTTCAGCCTCAACGGTTTCGCCGTTAATTCCGCGTCTCTCGCGTGCTGCATGGGCCTAGGCTGGCGGGTGGCTTATTGCTGCTCACCTGATACGGCATAATGCCGGGGTTGCAATGCAAGGCATGCCGCACAACGCACCACCAACATACTGTATTGCCTCTCCCGTGCTAGCAGCGCCCGGCTAACCATTTACGACTGCATCATCTGTGGATATACAATATTTCACTGAGCTAGTGCAGTGCTGACAACTCAAGCAACTTGTCCAAAGCCTAGAGTATGCGCTTGCCGACATGCGCCCTTGTTCGATCGTGTTCTTGGTACCCACAGACGTATCGATAGATTGTCCCATGGCGGTCCTGAATACGGGGGTTGGCTCCACTGACAGTGTGACATATCTTGCGTATCCGCCGTTGTCGTCTCAGATTCTTCTTACACGATCTTCACTCCTCCCTGCTTGTCGTGTACCACGTTGTCCGATTATCCGGGTCATCCACTTTCGCTCCACTTCACGACAAAGGAGGGTTTGGTTAATGCTCTATCCTTATACCTAATCATTAATATCATAACTACCGTCGCTATCAAGTCTGTCGACCTTTAATATAACTCGTCAACTCCCCAGAAGGGAAAGATAATTCAAATCCCCGAGATCGACAACATGACATCAACACCCTCGCTCAGGCAAAGCCTTGCCGCTGTTGTCCTTGCCGCCCTTCCTCTCGCCAGTGCACAAGGCACTACCCCTCCAAAGCTCACCGCCGATTGTATCGATGTAGCCATCTTCATGGCCCGCGGAAACGATGCTCCATATCACGACGGACGCACCTCACCATTTAGCGATGCTACTTGCGCAAAGTTCCAGGCCAAGGGTATCACCTGCGACTACATGGATGTCGTCTTTGATGGCACTCTTGGTGTCCCGTACTGCCCTACCATCCAGGAAGGTGCCGTCAACGGCGTCAGGCAAATCACCGAGTACAATGCCAAGTGCCCGGACACCTTGCTTGTCCTCAACGGTTACTCTCAAGGTGCCATGGTTGGTGGTGCGATACTCAGTGGAGGAGGTGAGGACGCGTGCGATGTTGATCCACAGACTACTGGTCTTGACCCCAACTCCAAGGCCGGCCAGGCTCTCAAGGCGGTTCTCCTCTGGGGTGACGTCAAACATACTGCTAACCAGCCATACAACGTACTCGATGGTGCCGACAAGCAGGTCTGGCCGCGTACGGGCGCCAATCTGGAGCGGATGAACCGCTTCTCTTCTGTCTTGCGTTCATACTGCGCTGGTGGTGACCCAATTTGCGCTGGTGGTACCAATGTTGCTCAGCATCTCAACTACTTTAAGCTGTACACAGATGAGTCGTCGTCGTGGGTTGTCGATAAGCTTACACCGCTCCTGGCCAAGCCTTCTTCATCGTCTGTCTTGTCCAGCTCGGCTACGCCTACTCCCACGCCTACACCTTCACCTGAGCCCACAACCACACCCGCACCTACGCCCACTTCTGCGGCCTCTACCTCCGAGGTCAGTTCCACCGAGCCTTCAAGTACCGTAGTAGTTCCTGAGCCTTCCACTCCAGTTACCTCGGATATCAAGTCCACCAGCACTGCAGTTATCCCCAGCCCCTCGAGCCCATGCCTCGACTCAACTACTCTGGCTCCTCCTCCCCACGTACCTTCTACCATGGTTCCTTCGTACATCCCTTCTGCGCCCCCGGTCTCTTCCCACGTCCCCGTAACCACGGCCAACGGAACCGTTTCAACGACATGCACTGACGAGCCAGGAACAACAGCCCACTCCCTAACCATCATCCCGACTTCAGCGCACTATGGCAACTCGACTATCTCGGCTTCCAGCTCCGTAAACACGCCTGTCCAGCCCCATGAGACGCCTTCTCTGCCTGCTGGACATGTTTCGTATCCGGCTGTTCCGCCTCCCGCTCCTACAAAGGGCCCGGGATACCCTGCCCACCCCCCGGTTTGCCCGCCAGTTCTCGTTTACGAGACGGTGACGGAGTATGCATACGTATATGAGAGTATGTGAAGTGGGTAGAGATGGGTTCAGTCGAAGGGGACTGTGTCTTGAGTTAATGGAGGAAAGCTCAAGTGGTTGTAAATAATATCTTGGATACATGGTCGCTAATGAGTATACGAACGTTTTGATGACATTTCTTAATTATCTTTCACCTCACTCCCATATGCCTTTGTGTCTCGTATCATAAATGCTTCGTCAAAGCATGTACTTCATTACTGTACATGTACATTATTCATATCATAACCCTAGATACCCAACGCCTTAGCAAGCGCCTCACCCACACCCGTCGCACTCGCAGGATTCTGCCCAGTAATCAACTTGCCGGACACAACCACCTTCTCCCCCCACGGCTCCGGTGCCTTGACAAACTTGCCGCCACTCGCCTTCTGCAGCGCATCCTCTGGCAAAAACGGCACTGCCTTGGTCAATCCGACCTGCTCCTCCTCCGCATTCGTAAACGCCGTAACTTCCTTACCCGCAACCAGCAAGCTTCCATCACTCAACTTGACATTGTAGAGTACGGCGGGTGCATGACACACAGCCGAGACAATCTTGCCGGCCTCCCAGAACTCGCGGATGAGCTGCTGCGACGTGGCGTCGTCGGCGAGATCGAACATGGGGCCGTGGCCGCCGACGTAGAAAATAGCGTCGAACTCGCTGGCTTTGCCGATGAAGTCGGAGAGCTTCTTGGTGGTTTTCCAGACGGCCTCGTCGTTTTTGAGGAAGGTGACGGAGACGTCGTCTTTGGCGGCTTCGACGGAGGAGGGGTCAAGGGGTGCTTCGCCGCCCTTGGGCGAGGCGACGGTGATGTTGGCTTTGTTGTGGAGGACGTGGTAGGGGTGCGCGAGCTCGGGGAGGTACCAGCCTGTGGGTTTGCCTGTGTCGCCGAGTTTGTTGTGCGAGGTGAGGACGAAGAGGATGTTTGGCTTCGACATTGTGATGGATGTGGTTTTTTGTAGATGGAATTGATGTGTGATGTGTGTTTCTACTATATATTTCTATATTTCGAGTAGAGGGGTAGTTTGCAATCTTATACCTTTTGCGCTGACAGCTCCTGGCGTGCATGCACATGTGTGACGACATGCGGGGTAGCTTTTTTGGCCAAAAGGCCCGACTATGCAGGGCTGAAGGGCTGACCCACCACGACTGACGTTGAAGACCCACGCTTTCATGTGAAATGCGTAGTACCTTGGTGTCTTTTCGGCCGTAGCTTTGCAGCTCATTCTACTCCTTTTTCACATGTGCTTTTCTGTTCTCTAACTATGGCTGCCCATGGAGATGATCACAACCGTACTTGAGAGAAGGAAGAAAAATGCACGCGACACCACAAGTTGCGTCATTTTCATCTTACACGTATTCAATGGGCTGGTTTAGCACTACTACAAACTTGCGACACCGTTTTCGTCTTCGATGGCTTCCTAGGCCGGAGTTTCTACTCGATCCGGTCATCGCCGTCGAATTCCACCGGCCACGAGTACGTTTCACCGCTTCTCTTCCTGTTTCTGGATCGCGCGTCTTGACCAGAGTCGGCGATATGCGGCAAAAGAAGGAGTTGTTACTGTGTTAGTCTCAATTCTAGTTACGCGCATATGTCCAGCGAAGCATCATCGAAGTTACTCGAAACAAACATCGGATTGATCATTAGTCTTATCGCCATCTTATCTCCGGTCGGAGGTAATGAAGTACTATCTTGTGATTCTTGCTTACTCAGTGTTAAATCTACACAAGATCTATCAGCAGAATGTTTGTCATCTACTTAATTTCGAGAACAGACCCAAAGGCCGCATTGGTAGAAGAACGTGTACTAACATCTATTTCGAACACGGAAATAGTCAACCGTCCTGTATGCATAAGAGAATATGCCCTCTTTTAACCACATCTTTGACCAAGTCGCATAGAGACATTAAGTTGGGACAGCATTCGTCCAGGCCTGAACGTCGCCCCTGTTCACCAACATGATGATGGGCTCAGTCGTTGAATTCCTTTATACTGCTTTATATTACTTGCCGCATCTGTGAGAGATCTATACAATTTCAGGACTTTACCCCTCCATCTCGCCGAAAAAGTACGTACACAACACAGATTCAAGGCAATTCACTTTGTAGAGAAGAGTAGCCCGGCCGTGTTCACATATCCAGATATCATTCTCTTCTCCTGTTTCACAATATGTCTTGCAGAGCTGGGTAGCCGAAGCATACACCTTTTCGCAGCTTGGTGTGATGACGAACTGAAGGAGACTTACCGCATAGATTCCCGCTAAAATTTCCACCGCGACACTGGGTCACAGGTATACCTTTATACTTTAGCGTACCTGGCTCATATCTGGTTATTAGCCACTAGAACAGTACGAAGGAACCGGAACAGTTATCGACAGCCAATCCCATCAACCTTAGAAGATATTTACGGCACATCTTATCCGGAGCCAATTGCTTCGCTGCATGGTGATTCTTGGTAATCTTGGAGACCTGCCTTAGTATCCATCAGAAAGAAGCTTCGAATGTAAAGGCTTGCTGCTAGTTTTCCTGGAGAAATCATCGGAAGATAAAGGAGGAAAAGCTTTAGGTCAAGCTTCAACTCTCCGCATCTTTGGGTTTGTCACTTCCGTATCGCCGAAGCATCATTCGTGGGGTAAACAGACTAAGTCGCGTGGTCCAAAAATTCCGCCAACCGCGAATGATGACTGTAGTTACTGTCTCGATGGCAATGGTACAAAAAATGGATATACATTTCTTGCTGCTTCAGGCAAACTTGAGGCCAAAAGATTACATTCTTGATGGGGCGACTCAGCACATTGCTGTGCCAGCATCCCCCAACAACATTCTCTGCGATCGACCGCCTTCAAATCCGCTAAGCAATCGATCTTCCACCGATAACTTGTGGTACTGGAATAAATTCTCTGACCTAGCGTCCAGGTGAACACACACATATGCAGCATCGGATTGGAAAATGGAGATAGAAGGAGTGTACCATACGCAAACGCAGAAGCTATACAATCCTTTCCATCGCTTTGACTACGCTCTCATGGTCAATCTCTCACAAAACTCTCCAGCTCCCACTCGACCAGTGCTATCAATACTATTACTACCCAGGCGGCTGACGAATACAAGTTATGCTGAAGAATGCACGGTCCAATGATCACGGCTTGGCCCCGATCAAGGGTCCCAGACTCCAACACTACGATACAGGAGTAGAATTCCTTATTGCATGGTACTTATCCTGAGGCACTGCATTTCATCATCACTGGACGTCGCTGCAATGCCAAGTTATGGGCAGCCGGGCGCCCTTCCGGGGCGGCGGACTTGGCAGACTTGGCCAGGAACCTCTTTTGCAGGGCGCCCAGATATCTCCCGGCATGTTGAGATTGTTGCCGGTGACAGCACTGATAGGCTCCAGTTTATAAAGTGCCTCCTTACTACTTGGCCTGTTTTGCATGGTCAAGATATGCAGACTCCACTTGGTCGAATCGAAGCCACACCCTTTCTTGAACACCCTAGCTTTTTTTTTTCTTTGCAAGTCGATAGGTGTGACAGGAAAGCATCTTCAAACAGCGTCCAAGGACAAAAGGTCCCACATGAATGGTCCAAAGATAGTGGTGGAGGGTAGCTTGGCTCTGGTCGCGATTGCCATTCACTGCCTTGGCCTCGGCTATCAGGCATCTAAGAACGGGAATGACTGCTCGGCCAAGCGTGTCCTGGCAGCTTTGAGTTTCAAGCCAGGTCGGGTAGTTAGTGTCTGTGGCATAAGCTAGAGATACGAAGTCACAGAGTGCGGCACCCAAGAAGCCTTGGAAGTTGAGGCCGTCATTCTTGGGCGTCATTCCTTTTTGAATTCCTTCCGACTTAATCTGGAGCTTGCGCACTCTTCTTCTTTTCTTTCACTTGCTTATCCAGTTCTAATTTGTATCTGTGGTTGCGGCTGGTCTGCTGTTTACTTTCTCTTCTCCCGCTGGTCGTCCCCCTTTTTTCCGTACTCTTTACTCATTCATTCATATTCCCTCAAAACACATGGTACTTTCATAGAACTGCATCTTTTATCCCTCATCTTCCAGAATTCTTTGGGCTTATAACCAGCCATGCCGGTTCTCGACGTCAGCGAACTCAACATTGTCATCGCCGTTCTGGGTACGTCCTCGATATAACCATTCTCCCAATCATCCAGTAACATGTCACACCCATAGGCGGTTTCATTGTCTGCTATGGCTTTTTGTCAGTCAAGATCAAGCAAGTCTGGTACTTGGGTGAAGCGTGTAGGTCACCAGCTCCTCAGTGCACTCAAGTGTGCTCCCATCAAAATCCTTGCTTACAACATCAGTGCCGGCCGTTATCATGGGCATCATTCTGGGCCCTATAGCTGCCAGGTTTCTCGATGCAGAAAAATGGGGTTCTGCTGCTGAGGGTCAACAAGAAGCCATCACACTGGTAGGTGCACAACTATGAAAGTCCTCTCGATGAACCCTACTCACCTCCATATAGGGCATGTGCCGCATAGTCATCGGTATCCAGCTTGTCATTGCCGGCTTCCAGCTCCCCGCCAAGTATCAACAAGCCCGATGGAAGGACATGATGATACTTCTCCTCCCAGTCATGGCAATCATGTGGATCTGCACAAGTTTGTGCATTATGCTCACCATTCCCAAAATATCCTTCTTGGCTGCGCTTGTCATCGGATCCTGCGTCACCTGCACAGATCCTGTCTTGTCCCAAGCCGTGGCTAAGGGTCCCTTTGCGGATAAATTTGTTCCTCGTGCGCTACGAGAGATCATTTCGTCTGAGGCAGGTTCCAACGACGGGTTTGGGTTTCCGTTTCTTCTGCTAGCTACGTACCTGATTCGTCATGCCGACCTTGAGGGTGTCGAGTTCAAGGATGACATCGTCTTGGGCGCAAGTGAGCTTGCCAGTCGCACAGTCAACATGCTCGCCAGGCGTAGCGAACATAATGTTGGCCGTCTAGGTGGAGGTGTACCCATGGCCATGGAGCAGTGGATTGTAGAAACATGGCTGTACATGATCGCCATGTCTATCGCGATAGGGGCAATTGTTGGGGCTGTCAGTCTGTTCGCCATTCGATTCGGCCTCCGTAAGAAGTGGATCGATACCGAGAGTCTCTTCCTCTGGCCCATGGCACTCGGTTTGTTCCTCATTGGCATCTGCGGTGCGCTTGGCACAGATGACCTCCTTGCTTGCTGTGTTGCAGGTAACGTCATGAACTGGAACGGCCTCTATCTTGAGGAGACCGAGAAGCGCCATGATGAAGTCAACAGCTGCTTCGATGTTATCCTCAACTTTGGCGGTTTCATGTACATTGGTACAATCATCCCTTGGAGGGAATTCCAACTTCCAGATGTCACTGGTATCACTGTTGGACGACTCATGATTCTCGGGTTCCTGGTTCTTGCTTTTCGCCGTATCCCTGCCATCTTCATGGTGTACAAGGTCATGCCGGAAGTCATCAAGGACTGGAAGGAGGCACTGTTCATGGGTTATTTCGGGCCCATTGGTGAGTTCACTTGCATACCAAGGATGGATCTTGCTAACACACCTTAGGTATCGGAGCTGTCTTCTACGTCGAGCACACGCGCCATCTGTTCCCCAAGCCTGGAGAGGCCGAGACAGAAGAGGAAGAGAACCTCTTGGCTGCTATGGTCCCCGTCGTTTATTTCCTCGTTATTTTCTCTATTGTCATCCACGGGCTCTCCATTCCAGCCCTTGATGCATTCTACCGCTACAAGAACATCCAACCAATTTCCGAGGCTGAACCAGCAGAGATCCGCTCTCTGTCAGTCCACGAGGCGCTTCCCAACAACGCCCGCATAAACACGAAACGCAACTCCATCTACGTACACAACCGCTTCTCCAGGCCGGTTTCTACGGGTCCTGATCCGGAATTGTATAGGTGGAATAGTCAGGTGAGGGATAGCGATGCCACATATAGGGTTTCTTCACAGCTCCAAGGCGAGGACTACGCTCAGAAGCTGCAGAATATTCGATTTGCAGAAGACTATGCTCATGAGAAAGCCAATCTGGGCTAGTCATATAGCAATAGATTAGTAAAGGAAGGGGAGAGGGTGATGTTTAGAGATTCTAGGTTATCACGGTGTTTCATTAGTTGCTTCCACGGTGATCAATAGCCATCACCATCACGCGTCATGCCACTCATTAAGTGTTTTATTGTTAAATAGACGGACATTGAAATAGGTAATCGCAACACTGCATCGACATGTCTAGCTAGCCATGCCACGTACAATCATTTCTCACTCCCCATTTCCCATCCTTCAACCACCGCAACAAGTCCTTAGCCTTTGAGAAATAATCCGAAATCAAGCGAACATCCAAAGTCAAGACCACCCGCCCAGCACCCAACCCCCTCTCCTACACGCCCCTTCCCTTCCCTTTCCCATGCTTTTTCCTTCTCATCCAGCATGCCCAGATACGATTATCAAGCGCCCTAGACATGTCGTCGAGCACGAAACATGCCAAGGGCGCCGCGATTCCACCGCCAAGCACGCGCTCCCGTTCTATCCGCGCCGTTCTATCCGCGCAGCCCTATCGCTTGCCATTCCGCTCCACTCTTTTTTGCTGGTCTTTGGCTTCCTCTTCATTTCGGCGGGCTTGTCGTTTGCTCCTGCATAGAAGATACGCCGAACGGGCTGTGTGTCAGGTTTGTCTTATAGTATCCTGCTGACGTAGGGCGAGGAAGGGTGTAGGTGGATGCTCGCGGTGTGGGAGGAAGGAATGTATAGGGACGTGCGTTGTCCTCTTGGCGCTCCGCTCCGCTCGGTGGTGTAGCGGAATGCTGGGTAGCGGAAGGGGATAGGAGAATGGTGAAGATGGGGATTTCGGGATTTTTTTTACATTTTCATTCACTTTCACGTCTCTCTCCTGCATTGATACTAATCTTTCCTTTCATTAGATAAAATATTGAAGGTTGAAGGTTGAAGTCCTTAGCTAACGATCAAGGAAATGATCCGGAGTTATTGGCGTGGCGAGTGGTGTTGTGACAAAGACCAGTTAACAACAAGGACACATAATCAAGAGTGTGTCCATTGACTTTGTAGTCAAAGATTGAATGGCCTTGTATGTATGACTGGAGACATGTGACTTTTTAAGTATGTTATGGGTTCGGAATTTTGAGGCAACTCAATGCGATTGAATAAGTTCGCTATGGTATGATTTTGAAGAAAATCGAGATTATGATCTCTTTTCCACGTCATATTGTCGCTGATCATCGACCGACTCAATTTTGCATATGGCAAGATTGAATACAATCCCCCAAACTGTACATCTTTTCCAGGATCGTAAATGCGCCTCGTTCTCTTTTCTTCTCCATTACTGATTTCTCAATTCCTCGAACCATTGTTCATTTCAAAAGTAGGTAGTTCTGCCGCGTCCCTATCCGCAGGTACCTCTGCGATAGGTCTAGTGACTCCCCCATACTTTTCTGAGGCTGGTGCTTCCGCACATTCTCGGTTCACATTCATTTCTACTGTATGAGGGCTTGCATATACGGGTGATGCGTCGAATGAGTTCGCTGCTTCGTAGGCGTTGCGCTTGCTGCTCTTTCTCCATCTCCATAGGAAAAAGCCAGCAAAGCCAAGGAGGGTTAGACCACCAATAACCCCACCTACGATACCTCCTATCGCACCGCCAGAAATTCCTGAGTTATCGTTCTCGGCAGGAGATGAAGTAGATCGCGATTGGCTAATCGAAGAAACGGCGGTTTGTGAGGAACTGACTGTGGAAGTTGTGATAGTTATGAGTGAGGCGGTAGAAGCCGAGATTGGCGTACTCGGGATCGCCGATGATGAAGCAGTAGTGGTAGACGTCGGTTTTTCTAGATCAAGCAGTTTGACGGGGTATGAAGCTGCAGACGGGCTAGCTGACGCAAGAGATTGCGCAGTGTCGTTCACAGTAGTTGCATCCAGCGAAGCGAGCGGGTTGACCAGGCTACTCCAGCAAATGTTGACTTGATTTAGTGTCTCGGTACAGATCTCACTAATTCATATCAGTTCTGTGTGAAATGTAGTTGACCGAGTGGAAAATTGTTGGCTGACCTGGACTTCAAACAGCAAAAGGCATTTATACCAGATCCACATGAACGCTGGTTGCCCGCAGGTGTCGTGCGGTCTCCTCCATCACAACCTTCACTGGGTCCCCAGCAAACCGCATCCTTGGAACCAGGAATACAACAGTAGTGTTTAGATGTTCGCTCATCAAACGAGCAAACAGAAGGAGGAGCGCATTCGAATGGTGAACCGGGGCACTTCCTCAGTGCGCTGGAGCTCCCATTGTTGCCTGCGAAGAAGAAGTCGGTGAATGCGGCGCGCACTGGTAACAGATGGAGAAGTACAAGGTATGTAGTTGAGAATGTGATCCTGTGCATTTTGTGATACGGCTACTGCAGGACTCTGGAGTGGGTTTGTTGGAGGGCCTTAGACGCGTCCGTGACAACCAGTGATGTTGAAAAACATATCGAGAAGGTCCGTGATTTGAATCTTTCATGGTGGAAATATCAGGCCTTCCACGATCTTGGTAAATCTCCGATATGCAGCCGTAGAAAGCCAATCAAACGAAGCTGGTGTTACTACAATTCGCCGACATCTGAAGTAACCGTATAACGGTTAGGACGCTGATCACTACTGTACGAGCTTTCTGGCCATGCCTTATGAGGCAAGGGACAAAGCATGAACGACCACACAATAATAAGTTAGACGGCTACGCAGTGAGTAGGGGTTCTCTCGTGTGTGACGCTGCTTATCTATAGATAGGCTAGGCGTGTAATATTACCCCTATCACACCTAGCGCTGTAATTTAAGCCCCCTTTCCCTTCTCTCTTTTATCCCTACACATATTCTTCTACTGTCTTATTTGCCCTTGTGTGTTCTTCCTATCTCTCTTTTTTCTCTTCATCTTTACTTTTATTCTATTTTTTAGAATAGTAGTAAAGGAGAGAAGTAGGAAGAAAGGTATGGGGGAAAGACGCGTATTTCCTCTCTTTCTTACCTACGCATTCAGTTATGGTGGTTTTGTTGAGATCCTGAGCTAAGCAGGGGGACCCTGCTTGTGGGGGTGACATTTGCTTGTCATAGGGTTGTTCAATAACCTTTGCCCGGAATATCCCAGAAATGGGGCCTGAGCAAGGCGCAGTCGACGTGGAGGAGTTAGAGCAATTATTTCAATCGAGAACTGAAATAGTGCCCTGAGTGTGCAGATCGTTGATACCAGGGGCGATGGAGGCCGCGCGAGACGGGCGCTTGTATGCGTGAAGTACTCCCTGTACGCCCTTCTTGGCCTCCTCGGCCTCCGTCTCTAGTTTCGGCCTTGACTTGGTTACCTAGTTTTGGGTATGGTAGCAACCAACATTTCGGCTTGTACTCTATTGTATCCTCGTGAGAAAGCATGAGCAGCTGTATTCGGGAAGCGTGTTGAGTCTCATCCTGAAATGTCGGACCCTGCTGTTAGAAGTGCAAAAGATTGAACGATACAAGCCGTATTCAAGGGCATGGCAATATGCTTTCAAGCCAGGTGGTCATCCTCCCTGGCCAATGTATTCGCACTTTCTTGTCCATGTGTTCCTTCCGATAAAAAGAAAATATATCGTCCAAAATACCGCGTATACGAGGCAAAAATGTAGATATGGAAGAGTCTCGTTGTCCATAGATACTACCGCGTATCGCCATGCTATGGATTCGAAGAATGACCACAGAGTAAATGCCCTAAGCAAAAAACAAAATAAAACTATAAAGCGCCTTGTGCTACAGTCTCATACACCAGTGACTGCATACTAGAAGTGTAGTGAGAACCAGATGGCAATGATGTCACACCCCGTGTTCGCGCGTCAAACGGCGCGTCGCCTGATCACCTCCACCACACAGCGATGTTCAAATACTCTAACCCTAGTAATTTCTTCATGGTATCGAGATCTGAAATTCTTTTGCATCAGAGTGGAGTGAGGGTAGAAATCGCACACGACCGACATATGCAGATATGATTCATCATGACATCAACACCAAATACTAGTGTGGGTACTCTGCTAGCATGGCATTCTAGTAACACATCCATCATACTTTAAATGCACGACAACCCCATCTCCAAAGATATTCTGCTACTCTAATCAATCAAAAAAGTCTCTAAGATCAAACCACACCACTCGATTCTTCAACTTTCCCCAACCAAACCACCACTTCTCCCCTACCAAATCCTCCAAAATGCCCCGTATGGTTGCACCCCCGCCATCAGGCGAATTTCAAATCGTCCTCAGCAAGCCCTTTAATGGTACGTCAGATTTCTGACTTGCAAAACATCATTCCGACGTAACTCACCAAAAACCCCACCCCCATCCAGGCGCCCCAACACACATGATCGAGGTAATCGGCGAGCCCAACCGCTCCGCCAGCATCCGCCTCTCCAACTACAACGGCGGCAGCAAGTCGTCTGAGAAAAAAGGCGACGTACCCCAGTAAGTCCCTTTTGCTTCCCCTCTTCCCTCTCACCAAATCTAATTCCACTCCTTCCTCCTTACACAGAGACGACGTCCGCGAACTCATGTCTCTCGTCTCCACGCTGCGGGGCTTCCCCTCACACCCGAGCAAAGATATTTACGGGCTGGACACCAAAGTTGATTTCAACACGATGGAGATTCAGTGGGGAAACCAGGATGAGGATCCTGCGATGGAAGGGGGAGAGGTAGCGGGGGAGCAGAAGGATGAGTTTAAGAGGATTGCGGAGAGTATTGAGGCGTTGGCGAGGCAGTTTGCTAAGCAGGATTCGGCGGTGTAGAGGTTGTTTCTTTTTACAAATGATGATGTGATGAATGAATGAAAGTAATATTCGAATTCGATGAGGAATGTAAGGCGGTCGTTGTGCTATGGAAGATAAGTGATGTTGAGCTAGTTGACTTGATTGCACTGATGGAGGATATGTCAGTTATTCACGATAGTGGGGAAGCAAGGTGGTATTTGATCAAAGACGTTCACTAAAAGGCCATACTGCGTCTAATGGCATACATTATGCTATTCATCAAACAGTCGCGTCCTCAGGAGCTTCATTGCGAACAAAACAACCATTATTCAATCATATCTGCATATAATCATGCCGACACATCTAGATCTTGTACACAATACCACCAGAATACATGATCTTGTTCCTCTCACTAAGCGCCTCGAGCGCCTTCTCGGCTTCGCCTTGTCCAAATGGCTCCCTTCCACTGCCGCCGCCCAGTCTTGCGTTCACTGCAGCGACAAGAGGCTCCACATCTGCGGCATCATTCGCGAACAATGGGCCATCAATAAGTTGACCGAGTGCTGTTTGGAAGACTTGTAGACGAGCAGGAGTGATCTCCTGGGATTCTTGGGACTCGGGTTGAGTAGGGGGAAGCTGAGATTCGGGCTGTGATGAGGCAACGCTGAATTGTGACGAGGGTTCGCCGCGGGTAGACTGCGAGCGGTTGGTGGTACGTTGCGTCTTTGGTGTGACCCTGTACAGATCTTGGTTCGCTTCTTCGTCATCGTCGTCTTCACCATCTCTTGCAGCGGGAGTGCGTGTTGCACCTGTCTGCTGGCTTCTAGTAGATGGTCCGCCGGCCCGTCGGGACTGTGTAGCCTCGGCTTCATCACCGTCATCTTCATCGCCCGATGATCCTTCGTCTGTGGACATGGCGTCTGGGTCGCGGGCTGTACGTCTTCGTTTGCGACGGTCATCCTCGACAACTTCCTTGAATAGAGCGAATCGTAGAATTTGCTCTGCGACATCGGCATCTTTCCGCTCAACTCGCTTCGATAAGCGTGCTTTTGCGTGCGCAGTAGAAAGACGGATGAGTGTTTCAAGAGTACGCGCAGTGATGGGAGAAGTACGACGGGTGCCTGCATCAAGCTCGTCGTTGCGAAGCGCAGAGTATACGCTTACAATGTGATCTGCAGCACCCTTGGTGAGGATGGGCTTCTCACGCTTGGCGTACTGGATGTACTTCTTGATGAATGGGATACTGAGGACTTCGGTCCTCCGCGAAGCGCCCCTTCCCACAGTAATGGTAACTCCAGAGTGTAACATGGGGTTGAACTTTTCGTACACTTCGGTTGGACGGTTGGCGTCGCCTTCAGTCTCAAGACCAACGCCTAGAAGCTGAGCACCCTCCTCGCGAACAGGCGCACCCTCCTCAGTACCAGGCTGGCGATATCGATGCATGCGAAGGACGTGTTCTGACACCTGCCTGTCTCGAGCGTCCTCGATGTCATCTGTAACGACGAACAGCAAATCGAAACGCGAAAGGAGGGAGTCTGGCAGGGCGATGTTGCGGTGAGGATCCTTGTGAATATCGTATTGCCCAAATATAGGGTTGGCGGCAGCAACCACACTGCAACGAGCGTTGAGAGACGTGTGAATACCTGCTTTGGCAATGGTGACAGTTTGCTGCTCCATAACTTCGTGAATCGCGACTCGGTCGACATCGGACATTTTGTCAAATTCATCGATACAGACCACGCCACGATCTGCAAGGACCATGGCACCAGCTTCCAGTCGTCGCTCGCCTGTTTCTTTGTCTGAAGTAACAGCTGCTGTGAGACCCACACCAGAAGATCCACGACCGGTCGTGGCAATGGCAAGAGGAGCGGTATTCAGCACGAACCGAAGTAGCTGTGACTTGGCCGTAGAAGGGTCACCAACCATTAAAATGTTGATATCTCCTCTCAGATGGGTGCCGTTTTCTAGGTTCTTCTCTTGTCCTCCAAGGAGGAGGAGTAATATGGCCTTTTTGATGTAGTCGTGTCCGTATATGGAAGGAGCAAGCGATTGTGATAGAAGCTCAAATACACGCCTGTTCTTCGCAATCTTGTTGATATTGCGGATGTCGGTGTCAGTGATGTTGACCTGGGCAATTCCTCCACCTGATTTGGAGGATAGCAAGATGATGTTATTTGCAAGGATTAGTGTGCGGAAAGTCGAACTGCCTGCTCCCGCGTTACGGTTACCAAGCGATCGGTAGATACCGACTAGCTGGATGCGGTCGCCGGGCTTGACTCGGTCTACAAGGTCGTCATCCAAAATGACATCGACAGATCGTGGCAACTGTCCAGCAGGGGCACGCTCAGGCATTTCTTGGATGGATATGGTCTGGTGATCGCGGTAGGTGCAGTAGCCGTACTCAGTCACAAGGGGATTGCCCTCTTCGTCTTCTGTAGGGTATACGCTTGTGCTTGCAGCGCCCGTGGTCATGGTCTGGTCTCTGTACTCTCTCGCATGAAACCTTTGCTTGGCCTCGTTGTAATGCACACTCTTGACAACCTTTGGGCGGACAAGAGAGGTCTTGGTAACAATTCCTTCGAGCGAAACCATGTGGTTGAGCTGATTGGAGCCGAGGGTACGCGGGTTGCAAGAGAACTCGCC